AAAAGTAATGATGTGCATTTCGTCGGCTCAAGACCAGTCATGTACTTTGACATTGATCAGCTTGTAAAAGTTCAAATCAGATGTTGGCACGTTGCAAATATGACATCACCACAGAATCTCCTCTGCCCTAGCGTAGCTGCTACTTACCACACGGCAAGATTTGTGGTGTCACTTCCCTCATGAAGGACTCAAAGTTTGCTTAACTTATAGCCATTTTTCCTCTGCTTGTCTCCATTTCTGGTTCAATCACGCCAATAAGATGACGCGCATTTGTAGTCATGGACGTATTTTCACACAAAACCTAAAATAACTTTTGCCCCCATTCGAAAAGAAGCCTTCTCTGGCATCAGAATGTGTCTTTAAATTTCACGGATATCATATGTGGAATACACGACACATAACAAACAGGGTTGGAAAATGGCATTTGTGGCCCCACTGACTTGCATTCATTTCTCTTACTTTCTTCTGGGGACCCATGGTCCGGAGGTAGATGGGCTCAGGCTCCCAGTAGGCATTTAGCATTTTGATGATTTTAAATTTCAATCTTTATCATTAGTGAAAGTTTTGTTTTATTAATGTCCTTCCTAGTGTTTTTTGTTTTGATGTTTTAACCTCTTAAATTGATCTTCTCATAGCAACAACCCGATTCGTTTAGTAACTGGATTAAAGTTTTAGCAAACTTGGTGGGTTTTAAGCGTTTATTTTTGACAGATTTCAAAGTGGATTTTTGAAGCTCTTAACTCCCTTAAACTCTATAATGAAAATTGCTGAATGCTGTGTGTATCTTGAGACCTTGATTGTGTCATGTACCGAACGAGCTATGGCTTTGTTCCGTGGTTTTTAAATGAAAATCTAATTACAAAAGTTCACTCTGGAAGTAAAACAGAATAGGGGGGGGGGGAAGAGATCCCAAACCTAGTCAGAGTTTGTTGGAAAGCCCAGGAATGATTAACAATAATAGCCATTTGAGGTTTGTGAACCTTTGGAAGTGTGAGGTATTCAAGTTTAGAGCACATTTAATTTGATGTAGTAAAAAATGTGTTTTTATTGTCACTTCAGGTTTGTGTTGAAGAGCAAAACGGTTATTCCCACCAGAAGCTATAAGGAATGAAGCACTTCACGAACGCTGACTCACTGATCCAATAACATTTTCAGGAAAATAAGATAAGACTTTAATATTTTTGCGTTGAAATTGAGGTCTTTCATTCTTATCTGGTAGAATCTCATTCGAGCCGATGCATCCCTCTACTGCTCTCTGTAAAAACACTCAAATCTTCTTCCACATTCACAATAGCTGACCGGTCCCTATTGATTTACTATTTCAGAACCTGAAATCAGTTCTTCTACATTTCAACAGCCAAACGTGTGTTAGTGTATGGTATGGGAATTTATGAGGTCCTTTGGTGACATCATTCCTTTTACCACAGGTATCTTCACTGAAATGGTTGAGTCATTTGAGTCAGATTTCTTTTTTATATTTTTACATTTTTTGTTTTTGTGAAGCGCCTCATGATTTTTATCTTGAGAGGCGCTATAGAAATGATATTTTCTTCTTCTTCATTTAAATATTTTGGGAACTGTCATTTTTTACTTTCGTATCTCAAATTTGTAAAACAAAATTAAATGTCACACAAAGATTGCATGTCTTGCAGGAACTGGACTGTTTAAACGTGAACAGAATACTACTTGGGGCAACAGTAGCCCAGGTGGTAGAGCGGGTTGCCACGGGCTCGTTTCCAGCTCCCGCCAGGGGTATTCTGATGTTGTGTCCATGGACAAGACACTTCACCCAACTTGCCTGTGTTGGTGGTGGTCAGAGGGGCCGATGGCACCAAATGGCAGCCTCGCCTCTGTCAGACCGCCCCAGGGCGGCTGTGGCTACAAAGCAGCTTACCATCACTAGCAGTGTGTGAATGTGAGAGTGCATGAAACCCTCCTTGAGTATCCTAAAAAAGCGCTATATAAGTTTGAAGATGATTATTATTGTTATTGGTGTTATTTTATAGATCTATGACTGAATTGATGCCGTCCTTTTGATTCCTTTGTATGGACATGTCAGTTCAAAACAAAAGCCGCATAAACAGAATTGTGTCAGAAGCCAGTAAAATTACTGGCCAACAACAGATATCCCTCACCAGTGTTTAGAAGAGCCAGGCTCTGTCAGCTGTGTGTTCATGAGACATTTCTTTTTTGATACAATTATCCTGTACATCAGCTCCCTAAACCGGATCGGTGGTGTGATCCTGCCTCTGACGTGACGTACAAATGCACCCTTTTGGATATTTTTCATTGCGTATTTCTCTGAAAGAACAACAGTATGGGCAGCCAAAGAGCAATACCATATGGATGAATATTAGGAACTGAAGTGTAGATTTAAAAATGTTACAAAAGGAATTATATTCTTTATTTTTGAGGCACTATGGACTATATTTACTTTATTGGTTTGGAAGACATCTCTTCTCGTAGCAAGCTTTATTACTGTTTTTGACCTATTTTTATGCCAGTTTGACTAGAAAAATAAAGGAAAAGCACCGGTGTATTAAAGATGGCTGCATTCCACTTCTTCCATTGTGTACGCTAGTTCTGTAAAAATAATTTAAAGCAGAAATTTCACTAAATGAATGCAATTATCATCAATGCAAGTCAAAATGCCTGCCATAAAATATGCTTAAAATGGAAAATACTTTATTTTTTTAATTTAAAACCAAAACAAATGTTTGTGAACAGTTTTTGGTTTTTAGTAGAACTTTGAGTGGAAAGCAGTTTGACAGCATAAAGGATTTAGTTTTAGAAAATGGACAGTGTTTTGATATTTTATGGTCAAATATCAAGTGAATTGTCACATTTTTCCTTAAACGAAACTGCACAAAAACTGGACCAAGAAAATTAATGACCAAGAAAGAAATCTGAACAAGTATGATATATTCATTGACATTCGCAATAAATTTGTTAAATTATCAAAGAGAAAATGGGTATACACACAAATGTTGGTATGTCCTTGTTTAACTATTTGGGCGCCAGTTTTTTTCAAGAAAATGTTCAATTTTGACATGACTATTTCAATGGGTTGTAGTTCGGAAATGGTTAGAGATTAAGGTAAACGGCAAATGAGATAATTGTTCAGTAGGACCCAAAGTCTGTGTTGGGAGCAAATTCACTCATCTAATTAGCATATTATGGCGTTGTCAGGCTGCCGTGTTGGAATGCATCGTTTTTACTGATGTTCCATTTTATTTTTGCGTTATTTTGATACTTTCATTATATTTTGACATTATTTATTTATATACACATAGAAATAAAGATCTTTTGAAATTTTTAATTCATTGCTAATCTTTTATATGGTATTTTTTGATATGCATATTGATCTCACTCAAGAGAAATGCTTTATAGTCATAGTTGTCAGGTGTTTTGGGGGCTTGTAGTTATAGGGATGTCCTTCCCTTGAATGTAATGATCATTTGATGTAAGGGAAAGAATATTTTTATGATTATGTGGCACACTTCCATATGTAACGCATCCATCACTTTTTTATGGCTTTTCTTTTACACTGCCACTACTCTGTCACATTAGCAGTGTTTTTACCATCATTTCTACATTCACCATGTCCCAAACACGGTGAAACAATGTTCAAACCCAACGTTTGGAGCTTGTAAGTGTAGCACCAGCTGTCTGTTGCAGCGCACTGCAGCAGCGTCAATCTTTCTGTCTGGATGAGTGAATTTCATCATCAGAGTCAATATTCTGGAGTCAGTCATGACCAGACAAAGTGATCAGTCAACAAAGCCAGACCTGCCAGCAATTGTGAGTTTTATCTCTCTAATATTTGCCCTCTTCGTGCTGCGCTCGTCTCCTCCTCTCGTCCTCTCCCCGACCAGGAAACTCTCAGCAGGAGGCAGTTTTCAAACTATGAAAACTCCAAACTTTCAATATAAACACACCCCTAAGTGTTGCTCAGCCTGAAGACACGCATTTTCACTATCTTCTGGTGTAAATTAGTAACTTCATGAGGGATCATATATGTAGCTGTGGCTCGTTAATGTCAGTAATGACGATTGTCGCAATATTGCAACTTTGGCACTTAAAGTGTTAAAATGAGCTGTATATTGTTTTCCAAATGGTTTCTAATTAGTAAAACATATGTGGAGGCAAGATGCAGTTACACAGAAACACTGGCGTTGTGTGTTTGTCCAGAGATCCAGTTTTTCTGTGGAGCAGAACTTTTCCTAAAATGTAGTTTTATTACTCCTGCTTTAAGGTTCAGATAACCATAATAATATGGCATAATGGCAAAAGACACAATGTGGTTTCTCAATTAACAGCAACTAATGTGGAAGAGGTGTATTTAGTGCTTTTTTTGATGACAACACCAGGGGGCAGCACTGTCCTCCCAGGGAAAAGCTTGAATGTAAAGTTTACAGGAGGAAGTTCAAGAAGCTGTTTTAGTTGGTGAAAACCAGGAAAAGCATGTTTCCAGAATCAGATATGGTTTCTATCAGGGACATGTTTCTGACTTGTGTTTGATGTTTGGACATTTTTGGACTGTCAGAAGTGATCTCCAGTTGGAATTTGATCAGGAATGAAAAAGTCACTGAAACTGAAGGGTAGAGTACCGTAACCCATGGATCTCAAGGGTAGCAACCCGCCACTCCCAACACAGCACTACTTTTCCAACACACTCATCGTATGTTACGATGAGCTTCCAGTAAACACTGGATTTAGTGTGTAATATTAGTACCGGAGCGCTGAATGTTGAAGCAAAACAGTTTGGCCATCAGTGAAAGAGGAGCTATGAAAATGGAAATACTTACCTACTGCTGACCCCTGTTAAGTATCAGTCATCCCAAGGAGCACACAAGTGTGTAGACGTGAGAGTATTGTATGGTTGCTTTGTGTTGTGATTTAAAGGGGAGGGCAAAACTTTATGTTTGATGCAGAAGTGCTTAATGCATGGTGTATACTATAAACTGCCTGAAAGTGTGTGAGTATTGAATGGTACATACACTCAGTGTTTGAGTTAGATAGTAGCATGGAGGCAGACTGAACATCTGTGAAACTGGGGTCGCAGGCTACTGGAGAAGCAGCCACCTCCTGCTCTCCATCCTCCTCCTCCTTCATGTCCTCTTCATCAGCACCCTCTGACGCCTTTTCTGCCAACCTCTTAGATGTCCGACCTACACGTTGACCCTAAGATAGAACATTTCAAACACATGAAAATAGAAATGAAAGCTAAAAATATACCAGCAACACAACTTAATGGTGATAGTCTGCGTGTATTTGCTTACCTTTGCCATGTTTCTGGTTCCTGCAGCTTTCCTCTGAGGCCGCCCTTTAGATTTGGGCACATTAGGGGTTGAGAGTGTCTTCATGGTGACAGCAGCATGCTGAAGGATGCAGTCGGTGCCACAATAAACAGAATCTTGAAGTGCTTGCTTCAAGCAGCCGGGGCCAGTGCAGAGGCGGAGACAGCTGTCTGTCTTTATTTCTGCTGGAGGTTTAGCTTCAGGTTTTATCACTAAAGGCTGCCTCTCCTCCTCTTCCTCCACCACTATGGTCTCCTGAAAACAGATCGCCAACTTACAACCAGACAACGGACTTCCTTCATGGAAATTAAGACTAGCAAACAGATTATTAAATTTCCACATTCTTCGCAAGAATCAAAATGAAATTCAAACCTTGAGAAGCTGCTGTTCCTCCTGTAGCACCAAGTCCATCTCAGGAGGACTTGGCAACAAGCATTCGGGAAAAAGAAGGTCTGGCTGAATGTGAGACTCGAACTGGATGTGGCTCTGCTGGTGTGCAGTACAAGCTGAGCACATGAACTCCTTCCTCTCAATCTTCTGGTCGTGTGTCTCGCTGATACCGACACAGACACCATGGAACCACTCGTGGCAACTATCACAGCAGATCATGAACCTAAAAGCAGCAGTGAACAGGAAATGAAACTGATACGCGTATGCAAAGTGCCTTGCTCAAGAGACCTTGTTTCCAGATGCGAGCATGTACCTTTCGTTGCACGTTTGATGGCAGATATAGCACAGGGTGGTGGACTCGTAACCTTTGGTTTCTGACACTGATGGATGATCTTCCAGGTTTTCAGCCTCTTTCTTGTTCTTATGCATCGTCTGCTCTGGTGCATCATCAAACTGGTCAGACATCAGAGCCGTGCTATGGCTAAAATCAGTGCCTAAGATTATACAGTCTGAGGCTGACTGTTGGTCAGCAATCAGGGAAATATCAAAGTGAGAAGGGGAAACCTCAACTTCAGGAGGGTTTTCTTTTTCCTCTCCTTGTAAATGTCGCAGCTCCTCTGAGGTAACTAGCATCACCTCATCACCACTGACATCACCTGCTAAATTTGCCTGAAGGACTTCTGCCCTCCCCCTTCCTCTACCTCTACCCCTTCCTCTACCTCTTCCTCTGCTCCTTCCCCTTCCTCTGGCCCTTCCTTTTCCACCTTTACCACCTCGAGCCGGTCTGCCACGGGAGACTGGCTGCTCCGTTATCTGTAACAGACTCGTTTCATCGCTGTTTTCTTCCTGACTTGATATCAAAACTACATCATCGTCATCCCCCTCAGCTACATCTTCAGGACCACAAGGCTGTGTGGTCTCCATGTTATCAATATTATCTAGGATTTCTGTGTCAACTATAACCTGTGGAGCAGCCATCTCAGTAGCGTCTAAAATGTCAGGGTCCGCCATTGTATCTGCCATTGTCAATGACAGGTCTTCATCCCCACCAAGCAGAGAGAAGGCAGTGCCGAAGGCAGATCCAAAATCCTGCCACAAATTGGGATCAAAGGCCCCACCTGCAGAAGGCTCTGAAACGTGCTTCTCGTCCTCAGACACAGGTGAAGAAGGAGCAGACCACTGGAGGTCCTCTAAAACGCTTCGGGTAGATTTCCTTTGGGCGGAGGGTTCTGCAGGGGGTTCTGTTGTCTGATTGGTTCTCCGAGTTCGGCCTTTTCGAACAAGTGGAGGACTGTTGCTTAAATCTCCAACTTCCTCCATGAACTCCCTTCGAGCAATGGTCGTCCGCCTGAAGCCCCATGATTTCCTGACCTGTGACAACGTAGGTCGTGAGCCAGATTCTGCCTCCTCTGGTTGGTTCTGCTGTTCTCCTATAAAGAGGCAAACCAGGATGAAGAAAAACTTCATAAATCTTTTTCATTAACAGTTACATAGAACATTTAGGAATCTGTATTACCTGGGGTGCCATCATCATTGATAGGATTGTTACTTTCCATTGGGTCCATAATGACATCTAAGAGCAGCAAACCTGTTAAGAGAAATTGTAGTTAATGCTTTTTTTAAAATCATTATTAAGCTGTTTAAATTCAGGCTACAAGTGGGGTACCTCTCCAGGCAGTTTCAAATGTATTCAAGATGTGCAAAGAGTCATTTGGCTTGCTTCTCCATGGATCCTTAAAAAAACAACTGTGGGAAAACGCACCAAAACATCCAGATCAAATCATAAAGGACTTCTCAGCTCAGTTAAATGTTAAAAATGTTGTGCTAAAGTCATTGTATGAAATGACGATACCTCCCAACCTACCTACCAAGTATACAACAATTTTAGAAAATCTGGGACAATATGTTTGAACTTTAAATAAGGATTTCCGAACAATCTTAGCGTCACGTTTCAGATAACCGTTTGTTACTGCCACAAAGAATTTAATATAAATACTAATCTTCCGATTTAGCCAAGAAACAAAATTTACAATATATATTAATCATATTTCATTCATAATATAATTTTTAATTATAAACAGATTATTTCACTCATACATTAGTACTTCTACATTGTGGTACGGCTGCCTTTAATACTTAGTTTTTAACTAGGCATGTGATTAAATGTGAGTTAATGACATGATGCAACTAATTTTATTTTAACACATTAATTTATGGATAAATTGCATGGGCAAAACGTGTATTTCACATCCAAACAGATAAAAACTGCCCATTTCTTGGCCGTCTTGGCTTCTGATGTTTGTTTTTTTTAACGGATGCTAATATTAGGTGTTTAATATTGTTAAATATTAGTAATCAGTTTTTAGGGGGGCGGGGTTCGACCGCTTTGCTTTACGTGCATGATAACAGCCTATAATGACCAGCATTTGTTTATCGCGGTCAGGAGTAATTCCCTAGGTTAGGTAATAAACAATATGGCTGCTATGGATGTAGCTTTCAACACTTAGCAAGGCAGAAACGAAAGAACTGGCTTTTCTCCGTTACATAACAGACGTTCAGCTGTAAAACAGCAGAAAGGAAATGCTCTTTTAACGCTTCACGCTTAATCTTCAAAACAAAAGTGTTGTTTCGAGAACCACGGACAATTGTCCTCTGATGCTAAGTTAGCTAACCATTTAATTTCATCAGTGAGTCAACACATTTCAAAGCTAATTGTTTCTAGTAATACTAACCGACTAAAATACTAACGCAACATCATACCTTCGATGTATAGGGTTATTTTCATGTTATTAATAAGTGCGTGGAGCTACAACGCTAGCACACGCTTCCATTTTCTTCGCCTTGCTACTTAAAATATCGCGAGAACTTCTAAGGCAGGAAAGGACTGTTGTTGTTTCTTGTCATTTCCGGTCTGGGAATTTTTTTATGGAGCACTTGAAAAACATAAATGTTGATATTTTTTACAGCCATGAAATAGATTTAGATTTTTATACTTTCAGAGAAACAGTTCTTTAACTTTTCAGTGCTTGACCTACAAAATAAAAGAGAAGCTAGTGACCCCCAAACATTGTTACTCAACCTTATAACCAGGATAAACTATTATATAGTTGTTGTTTTTTTGTTTGTTTTTATTCTACGCAATTGGTGAAGTTACTGTAAATGTTATGTAATTTTTTTTAGTTAATTTTATCTCTGTAGACCTCAAGAATTTCCCATCTTAGTTTTAGGACTCCAATTAGGGTCCCTACTCCAACTTTAGCAAGCAAAGCTTAAGAGAACACATTAAAAAAATAAGCACCAGATATACAAGACATTTTTTTTATTTTTTTCTTCACACGTGACACGTCCATTTATCATTATGTACAATATGTAAACAAGAACAAGACACAAGCTCAATACTAACATGCAAACAGGAAATATATGGCCAAAAAGCTGTTTCTGCCTACTCAGTTCTTGGACAGTTTGACCTGGATTTACATCAGCTTTGGGTTTCTTGCTACACAAAGACTTCACTCGGAGCTGACATTCATGTGAAGAAGTTTACTTTCAAATAACTCTTTTAAACACATAGAAATGTGATTGCGATAAACATACTATAAAAACATGTAACACTATAAATATTGTTCAGGTATCTTCTTAGAAAAATTATGTACATTTTTAAATGTTTTAGTCTTTTCAATAAATCATATTTTTGCAACTATACAACATAGACCTGCAATACAAAACTGGTATGAAACAAATACCATCACTAACATAGAACAGACGGGGTGGACTGAAATGTAATCTTTAAGCCTGTTTTACCTTACAACACTTTGGTTGACTCAAAACAAACGTGGTATAAACTACTAACAAAACTTCCAGTCAAAACGTCTGTGATGGCGTTGTGATAAGGGTGTGATATTTATTGGTGAAGGCTGTTTCTAATGTTTTGTCTCACAATATGGAGAACAATCAACAACATAAAACAGCAGCAAGATACTTTAGAGCAGCATTGAAAGAGATCTCGTAGAAAATATGCTGTGGGTTTCATACAATCTAGCTCTGAGCATAAAAGTGGTAACAGAGCTAACACAGAACACAAAACTACAGTATGAAAACATAAAGACTCACATTTCTTTCTCAACACAGACTACTTTCACATGGTGAATTGACTCAAACACGTTTAAGTAAACTGAGAATGAAACTGTACACCAATCAGATATACAAATGGGAATGAAAAAAATATATAAAGTGATTTGTCACGAAGGTGCAGACCTTCAAGCACCAAGTTCGAGGCCACTTGCCCCACACAGGTGGCACACAGTGTGCCTGTAGTGTAGCAGTTAGGTCACAGTAACACCAGCGCTGTCCTTGCTTTTGTCAACGTATGTAGGAGAGTTGCTTTTGTCCGATATGGATCCTGTGCCTGACGGCAGTGACTGGGCGGCGGGAGAGTGGCCTGATGGTTTGACCAAAGGCTCAGAGTTAGGCTCTGCCTCTGGTTCCTGCTGCGACGCTGTGGCTGGTGGAAAAAAGGAAATGTAACATGTGAGCTCGCACAAAATTAATATCTATACGGGGGGGGGGGGGGACTGATCCAACATATTTGAGTTGTTTCCCTGCTCCTACACACTTCAATCATCGGTTCAGCAGATCATTAAGGTCTGCAGAAGCCTGTTAATCACAGTGAGTAACATTGAGTAAAATCCTTACTAAAACCGTACTTAAGCTCAGCAAAAAAAATTTACTTGCGCCAAGTAGGTTTGAGACCTATAAAACATGGAGTACGCACAGCTTCACGCAATCTCCGCTTCTTAAATCAAACTTCCTAGAAGGGTTCTCAGGTGTTTCTGAATCACCCCCCCACACACACACACACACACACACACACACACTTTCCGCCATAAATGGTCAATGCAAAGTGCCTTGTGGATCTCATGCATGTGCATAAGCCAGCTTGTTGCAGCATTCCACCATTAACGATGGCGACCGCGGATCAAGGTAGCGCAATTTCACTGAAGCAGAAATTGAGGTACCTGTGGGTGAGGTGGAGAAATGAAAGGAAGTGCTTTTGCAAAACAAATAAAGAGAAAATCCACGTTCAGCGTTGCTGAAGCCGTCAATGCAGTGAGTTCTTTGGAGAGATTTGTGTCGGTTATTAAAAGAATGGTCCGATCAGGATTCGATCCCCAGACTCCCAGGTGAAAGTCATGCGCACTAACCAGTCAGCCAAAGAGACTTCTCTCTTGAACAAGTAGCCAGGGTGCATGATCAATTGGGTCACAGACACATGACATTCTGTCTCAATCTGCCCCCTGCTGATATTCTGCATTCCGTATTCTGCACTTCAGGCTGTGTGTTATGTTTATGTTTATTGTTTATTCATTTAGCAGACACTTTTATCCAGAGTGACTTACAATTTATAACCTATAGGGCATGTTGTGATCTGTGGGGGAAACCGGAGTACCCGGAGGAAACCCACGCATGCATGGGGAGAACACGCAACTCCACGCAGAAAGGCCGCAGCCGAGCGAGTTTCGATCCTGCAACCTTCGTGCTGCGAGGCAACAGTGCTAACCACTGCGCCACCGTGTGTGTGTGTGTGTTACTTGTTCTGTGTGTGCACGAAGTGGTACAATTGATAATGCTGCTGGAATTCATAAGTGTGTCCTTCTCAGCAGCAGCACTGCAGGTGCTCTCCATGTCCAAAATGTGTGTAAGCCAGGTCCTTAGTCAACTTAACGTTGCGCACATTTTTCTGCTACGTTTTCTTTTATAAATCCCAAAGTTTGCGTGGAAAGTTGCTTACCCAGTTTTCCGACCCCGTTTTGTGCGTAAGCAAGTTTTATAAATGAGGCCCCTGGTGATTGAAATCACGTGGGTCGAAGCAGGGAAACCAGTAAAGCATGTTGAAAAGCTGTCCTTGAGGACCTGGATTACCCTCTCCTAATCTATGCTGAGTTCTTGACCCTCCACATTTCACGTAATCCTACAGGTCAAATAAAACACAATGTGTTCATATTTGATGTGAGTTTACAAAAAGCATCATCTGCTTTAACAGCAACAAAATAATCTACTTCTCATCTGATTATTTTGTGCTTTTTTATTCTCTTTAGGGAAACTTGTGAAAATGTTTCCACTACAAGAGTTTGTTACCTGACTGCGTGCAGGACTTCATGTGCTCAGGCCAGTGGGCTTGTTGGCAGGGGTAATCACAGTAACTGGTATTCCAGCAGCAGTAAAAGATGGCCTCCTTTCTGCAGTTTGCACACCACTGTTTCTTTTTGGTCTCATCCACTGCCTGCTGCTTTTCCACCTCCGTCTGCTTTTTTACCTCGGCTACCAAACGTTCTCTTTCCTGCTCCAGACTCTGTCTCATTTCTGCCATTGTTAACTCTGCATTTAAACAAATACACACCTGTTAGATATAACATAATAAAGCTGCAGGCACACAACACTAATACATGCCTGAAACAGGAAACCTACCCAAGTTGTGCTTCATTTCTGACAGCTCTTGTTGATGCAACCACTGGAGCTTTTCAATCTCTATCCTCAGCCTTCGTATCTGTTGAAAATAAGGCTGAAAATAAATGCCAGTTAAGGGTAAAAGTAGATCCTCCATCAACTCTAATGACATAATGATTCCAAGAGTCCCAGAAGATTAGCAGCTCCAATCTTAAATCAATGCCACCAATTATGTAACAAAACTAAACCAAAAAACAGACAATGCTAAAAAAAATAAATAAATAAAACTTGCAGATTTATTTCATAGTGAAAGTTCAAATTTTCAAGTCTAACTCTAAGTAATCATCTTCTGTTTGAGCCTTTCAGTCTCTCACATCTTTGAAGATAAAGGCTTAAGCTTGGTTTATGCTTGACACATTTACTTTCCGCTTGGTGATGCGGCTCGAGGATGGAACGCGCTTCACAACTCGCAGCGTTTATGGTTCGTGCGGCTCGTCTCTGCGGTGAGCCAATATTCTCCCAAACTGTAGGGGGCAGCATGGAGCTCTACGGCATGCATCCAACACTACACCATAGTAGAAGTAGAAATTACTGTTTACAACATGGCATTTCAGCATTTTTTAACAGCGTCCTCGTCTTTTCCGACAGTGCGAGCTATTTCTCTCCAAGAGTTATTAACAACATGTTGATCACGGTGATCTCTGAGAGCTGAATCATACAAATGTCTGTATTTACGAACCTCTGCCATACTAGTTCTTGCCAGTCCACCATGTTTTTCCGCATCTGACCGTTCGCGTGGTTAGAAATTTTCCTAGGTGCGCGTTGCGGAAATTTTGGGCCGTGCGGAGACGCGGTGGAGGGGCGTGGTTGTTAAAATGATGCAATTTCGCAGCGCGGAGCCGTGCGGACCTCGCGGACGCGTCAAGCATAAACCAACCTTTAACCTAATTCTGTTTTGCTGCTTCAGGATTACCTCTGCAATTGTGTTTCCTGACGTGCTTTTAGAAAGATCGTTGTAGATTTCGGTCATTGTCCCCTTTATTGTGTCCATAATCTGCAAAAAAGTGTAAAAAATTTGTTGACATATAAATAATAAATTATATGCCTCCTAGGCAAAAAGAGGCCTGTGGGGCCATAACTCTATCTATAAAGTAATAATGTCCCTTTCCTTATATTTAATGGGACAGTTATCATATAGCATACATGCAAAAATGTCACCGGCCCAAATAACCCCAGCCCAACAAATGTGAGGACTTACTTTGCTCGTGTACTTGGCTATATCTGCTGCTACATCTGCTGAAACTGTAGGGATTTGCAAGTCTCCCGGCATGAAAGAGGAGCTACCAGATGTGGCCGGTCCAGATGCTGATGACGTCGCACTCTGAGGTGGGTCTTTCTGTTGCACTGCAGGTGATAATGGTGATACAAGACATTTTTAAACAGACTTTTACCTTCATCTGGGTAGTAACCGAGGTTGTGGTTTTTACCTTTGACTGCCTGTCTGGTCTGATAGCGTGTGCTGGAGGAAGAGGAGTTGGAGTTCTGCTGTTGCAGCTGCTGTGGGCTGTGTGTCTGACTCGGTGTCTGCATCTGCGCAGTCGGCTGCTCTCCCTGCTGCTGCTGCTGCTGCCTCTGAACCTTCTGCATGTGCCACTTCTGGGATGATGTCTGAAACTTGGTTGGACTTAAAACAACCGCCCGCTGCACAGCCTGAGCCGTCTCTTTGGGCAGTAGTGGGCGCTGTTTTTTTATAGCTATAAGAACTGGGGACGTTGTTGTGGAGACAGGGGATGGGGAGCTGGCAGACCCACTGGTAGTTGTGGTAGCACTGGGCTGGCCAGGTGCTGCAGCAGAAACAAGGTTAAGTGCTCCTGTGACAGAGGGCTGTAGTGAGTCTTTAAGGCTGGGGGAAGTGTCTCGTGTTGGCGCGCTTGACGCAGCAGATGAAGGCAGTTTACCTTTGAAACAAAGAAAACTTATTTAGCATATTCAGAGTTCCTGTTCACTGAACAGTTAGTTGAAAAACTGTTCTACAATTATGGCTAAAGGTAAACATTGGGTTTAACATCACTTAACTTAATCATTCATGCTACATATAAATGAAGAAAATACAATATTTCTCTAATCATGAAGATAGTGATAGGTGATAGGTGGTGTGGGTGTGTGTGCTCTAGCATAACGGCTACAAGAGCCGGTTTCTCGTGCATTTTAGAAGCTCACCTTCCAACTTGGCAACATTAGTGTCTTTAGTGGGTTTGGCAGCGGAGGACCCTTGCTCTTTTCTTGGCCTCTTTGACTCACGACCTCCATGTTCATCCCCCAGGTCAATGACAAGCTCTCTCTCAGAATCAGAGTCTTGCTCAGCCACCGCTGCTGTAGCTGTGGCCGCTTTGCCCTCCTCCGATGATTTAGGCTTTTCAGCAAGGGGCTGAGATTGGGGCGTCCTGGGCTTGTCCTGCAAATCCCTATCTGGGCCATTGCTGCCCTGCTTCTCTTTGAGCAAGGGTTCAGAGGTGGCCTTGTCCCCTGTGGTTGTGCCTCCCTCCTTATTCTCTCCCTCCGTGCTCGCTTTGGGCCTTTTTCTCTCTGCTTTGTCCTTATCATCCGGTGCAGCGCTCTTTGGCTTGTGTTCTTCGTCACTGGGATACTCGCTATCACTGGAATCTGATTTCTCTGAGTCCTCAGAGTCACTGTGATCCACATCTTTATACGCATCCTCAGAGATCTCATCGATTCCTGTTGGGGAAACTTCACATTTAGATCAACACTGGCCAAAACAAACTGAAACGTGACAAAATTTCTGTTCAAACCAAACCTGAAGTGTAAGACAAGAAAAATGCCGTTAATCAGACCCAAATGATTCTCCAGCTATTAGATGTAGAGATTGAAAACAACACCTTTAACATACCAAGCTGTGCCTTGCAGCTTTCGATGGTCTTATCCAGACTCCGGATGTGTTTCTTTGGAGTAGCAGGTGCTGCAGGTGCGGCTTGTTGCTGCTGCTGCTGCTGCACAGTCTCACTTAGCTCCTTCAGATCCATTTCTGCCTTCACTCGATCTGATCCAAACACAAGTTCATCAAACAACCACCACGACAAACAGTGGTTATCTTTGTTGTAATGTTCATAATGTAATCGTTAGGGATGCACGATATATGGACATCAACATCTGTATCGGTTATTAGGCTTTTTAAACATATTTTTATCAAAACCAGAAGTAAAACTAGGTCGTTATTAACAACCGACGTTTATTCCCATCTTGTTGCCAACTGCAGGGTTTCCCCCAGTGCTTTATAAGACTGGCCACCGGCCAGACTAAGCGTCATGCCCCGCTCCTCTCCCCGACCCTACCGTGTCCGCTGACACGAACGGTGTAACGAAACTAGAACCCTCCATCAGCTATACTGGTGAGAAACAGCATCGGAACGTGTGCAACCCCCCCACCCCCACCCTCACGGAGGAGCACTGCGTGACGGACCGCGTGACCCTCCGCCGACGGCCGAATCCGCCGGGCTTAACTCATTTTCTGGGGGAAACCCTGCAATTGCATGTGTGTTTCAGGTGGGGCGGGGGATGCCTATGTGGGTTCAGTGTGGGCATGTGACAGTGATCATGATGCAGCCCAGGAATGGGGGGGGGGGGGTGTTTAACTGAAACATAGAAGCAATGCATATGTTGTTGTTGCTTTTACACATTTTCCAGGGTGTGGAGATGTATATTTATATGTATGCTACCAGTTATCATCCAAAACAGCAGAATTAATGTTGATGTGGGTGCATCTCTAGGATTGGTGCACAAGGAACTGACCAAGGTTGAGATTGAGGATTCCTCCTGTTCCTGTGGTCCTCTCCTGCTTGGGCACGAGTCCAGCGTTAAAGGGCTTCGGACTGCCCGTCACACTGCCAGCTGGACCCACCTTCCCAGAGACAGGGGATGCTACAATTACCAGAATAAAGGAAAAAAATCCATTATTACCTTGTTATTCTGTTTATTCTTTCAAAGTACATTAAAAAGGCAACCGTGTCCTCAAAGTAATTTACCCGTACAGTCCATGGATTCCTCTCCAGTGCTGTAGTGCAAAGCAGGATTCCTGGTGACCTTCTCCGTGTCTTGCTCCCCATCAGACCCTGTGTGAACCGAGGAGTTGGTGCTCATGGGAGAACGGGGCGTTTCTGTCATCGAGGCTCGCCGACTCATAGCGCTGGGCGTGGAGCTCTTGCTGAGGATCATCTTAGGAGATGCAGTTATGTCAAAGTTGAAGCGTAGTTTGTCCGGTTTCTCGGTTTTCACCGCACCAGCACCGGGGTTGGAGGGATCCAGCAGCATCTGCAGCTGGTTGTTGGGTGTGTAGGGGGTGCGGAAGGGCGCGTAGTTAAAGACCCCAAATTTTTTGCGTATATTTTCCACATAGACCTCCATCTCTTGCATGGCACTATTAAAAATGCTTTTTGTTTTCTTTACAGAGAACGGGATCTCTTTGGACATCAAGTAGCAGTTGTTGATCGGTACCCAGGCTCTGCACAAAACATCATCGTCGATTTAGACACGCGTGTTGGTTAGCAGAAAGAACTGTTTACCTATAGCTAACTTCACCTGTCGTGTTGCCCAAAGAAGCGTGCATCTACTTGCCCATCCTTTTCTCGAAGAGCCTTCGCTGGCCAGAACGGGAACCCCTTCAGCTTGGCCCAGACCAGGGGGTGGGGCTGACTCTGTTGAAAAGCAGAGGAATAATGCTTCACCGCTCTGGAACCTAAAGTGTTACATATTAATTCACAGAAATTAAAGTTTTAGGATAAAAACATACGCATGGTTCGCAAAACCAGTTATCCCTTTTTTGGCATGAAGACAGGTAGCACTCTGGACACACCTCAATCTCATTCATCTAATAAACAAGAGTTTTAAACACAAATACAATGTTATTTTATACATGCATTAGATGTATCCAGAGAAATACACCAGCAGTGCTTTTTTACCTCATGTTCACAGATCTTCACAATGACTTTGGCGGTCGCAGTTAGTTTGTGATTCCCTGAAACAAAGTCAGGAGTTGCATTTATTTGTTTTTATAAATTCACAAAATCATAATATTACATCTTTTAAAGTGGCAAACCTCCATTATAGATGATGCAGTTGTGTAAGATCCATTTTATATCAGCAAGAAAAGCCTCTGTGCAACCGTACATTTTCTTTTTCACATTCTATCAAAAAGCAAGAAAAAAGGATCATTTCAGACCTGACAAGGTTAAATCTGTTGTGTTTTTAAGTTTCATGCCCGTGTTGTTTCATGTGCTTCTGTTTGTATTTTATTCTAAACACAATGAATACCTTCTCTATAGTACTCAAGTCCATTGGGTGGAAGATGTATTCTGCATAATCTGGGTGTTGTTCCAAAGATACGGGCTTCTGAAAAGGCTCAGTCTGCTCCAAAAATATGAGAAACAAATACATTTAATCTTGTTAAAAAATTTCTACATGAATGAAAAGTCAGCCTTAGAAAGACGAAAAGATTAAAGCGCTTTTACCCCAGGCTGTTTAATTTTCTGGAGTGCAAATTTCAGCAGGTAGGAGAGCTGGTCTATCGTTAGCATCGTCATCGCCTTGCTCTGGGTTTCAATGCATTCAGCAACGGTTATTTTCTGCAAACAAGCAGAGCATTTCAGCGATATTAATTCTTATCACTAAAGTAACAACGAAGACACGTCATGAGCACTAAACTAAACACCAGCTCTACGCAGTTACAGGGTATCTGCAGGTTTAAGGGAGCCAAACTTAAGACTTTTTAAGACCTTTTTTAAGGCCACTTTGACCAAATTTAAGCTATTTGTTTAAATTAAATGTAAGCTATAATTTCCAGCTATTGCCTGGAACCGGTGCTAACCATGTGGCGAACGTGGGATTAACCATCCAGCTACCATTAAACTTGCATTTCCCCATGATGCAAGCTCCCACTAGCTTAACCAGCTAATGTGCTCATCTAAAAATAGCCCCCTTTCACAACCAACTGAATGTGTATGGTTCCGCTTATGCAAATGTCATACACAAAAAATGCTGAACACCAACTAGAAATTCACGAAAATTTTATAGAAATCAAAGAATCTTGTTTATTGGGTCTTTGGTAATTTAAGACCTTTGGAAACTCTATTTAAGGATTATTTGTAATTTTTAAGGATTTTTAAGGCCTTACATTTGGAAAAGCAAATTTAAGACTTTTTAAGACTTTTTAAGGACCCGCAGATACCCTGAGTTAGCAGCACGTAGGGCCCGAAGACATCCATAACGAGGAAAATGACGAATAGCAGAATGGGACATTACCAAAAATAGAATTTACTGTAAAACACACTTTTGCAATAATATTCATAAGAGTAAGAGTCCTCTGCAGTCTCCTGTCAGTGTGAGGATGGTGGGGACAGGGGACACATTATAGTGAACTGAGGCGAGGACGTCTGCTGCAATAAATAACACTAAATATAAAGTTTATAGCAGAAATATGTCCAAACAACGTCTGAGATTTGGACTTAGGAACCTCCGATATCGTAGCCTGGCCTGCCGGACTCGACCGGTTTAATTCTGCACAGAATTAAATGGAGGATGAGTCTGGCAGGACGATATCAGCAGAGATTTAGGTTAAGGAAACCATAAAATACCTTTTATTTAACGATTAAATGCATCAATTTTAAAGCAGCTTAATAAAAACAAACATTGAACTGAAATGCTTTTTTTTTTCTGTTGAAATTTGTCAATATCCATTAAATTGTAGCTGTTGTTTTTTTCTGCCTAATTGTTAAAATTTTAATAATCCGCCAAATAAAAAGCTACTTTTCAGTGAAAATGTGGTTTAACAGCACATAATTCCTAAGAAAAACTTAATTTACAAAATAAAACAACTCATTTCATAAACCCTACTTATGCAACAGGCTAACGACAGCACACGGATCTGAAGCGTCTACAGAATACAACTGGTGGCAACGCATCCTCAGCTGTAGCCGCTTCGGTATACTATACACGATTCATGCTAGAACTCGTTTTTGCACACACAGGCACTTCAGCATTATACCTCACACTCTGGACAGAACCAGTCGCCCTCGGGCTCGGCTGGTAGTTTGAGGCACTTGGCGTGGTACACCCTGGGGCAGAGCTCACAGCAGAGCACCTGGCCCTCGCGGTGGCACAGCCAGCAGTAGAAGTCATTCCTGCCGTCCTGCGGTACAACATCAACAGGGTCTGTGGTGAGTGCTGGCTGCTTCATATAGTAAAAGGGACCATGTCTTAGCTCTGACTGAAATGCAGGCAAGAGAAACAGGGGGCAGGTTTCAAAAACACGCAGGAACACAAAAAAAGGTGCAATGCAACAGAAACAAGGCAGTAATCAGGTGGGGTAAGCAGGGTAAAAGCAGCAAGTAGGGTAATAACCACAACAAAAACAGTGCTTCTGCAAACCAAATCTACAATTATTTAAGGTCTAAATGGATTCTTCTGCAGTATCTTACTGATGTTAAACTCCTGGATGCAGAAAGGCCTCAAAGATATACAGATGTGGACAAAATTGTTGGTACCAAACATCGTGTTTCATACAATTCTGAGGCTAAATTTAGGATTTGCTGTTTGCTCAGCAAACGTCTACACATTGTGTAAACTGGGATTAGGTGTGGCGTTTGTCACTGCTGCTGTATATAGAATAAACATAGAATAAACAGAAAAATGGACTCAAATATTATTCTACAGCTGGAAAGCAACTTTATCCATGTTATTTTCTGAGTGGGCCGCCAACGGCACTAATGCACTTCATCAAGTGGTCAAACATTCTCAGAAATCCCCAAAATCTCACAGCTTTGTGTTTCTTTCTCAAAACTGATAACTAAAGTAAGTCAAGCACAGATTAATTAAACTATCTCTCTTTAACAACTTTTGAAACATTTTATGAGACAAACCTATAAAAGACACTCATAAGGTGCATTGCAATAACAATAATGACTGTTTAATTCTTGTTATCCTTCATTTAAAAATGCCCGTCAAAGTAACAGGAACAGCCCTTTTGTGCCTGATTGGATAACAGCAATGAGACTCTACCACTGACACTGACTGTTCATGTTTTATCTCCATAAATAACACAAGCCTGAAGGAGTTCTGCCATGTGGTGGTGTTGCTAATGCTAACAGTTGGCTTGTACTAGCTGAGACGTTCTCTGTTGTTTCCCGAATGCTAAACCAAAAACAGCCTTCCCCGTCGTAAGTCAAGACGGGTGAGTCCATGAATGTTAGGTGACTGTGTGATGTACATCTGTCAGGGTTTTCTAATTCTAAAGATTCACCGTCTATTTTCTATCAGACCCTAATGCAGGAGATAGGTGTAGGAGACTATTTTCATGCTCAGCCTGCTTAGAATCTCAGTTACTCATTATGATCAGAAATTATCAATTGTTTTCAGGGAACCACACCTTTAAGCTAACTCCAACCAGCAGGACAGGTGAGCAGCTGTTCTGTAGAAGCAAAAAATAAATCTAATTTCTACTATTTAACTCAACAGTCGGTAGCTCTTAGTGACAATATAATTAAAAGCATTATTTTTCCAAGACTACAGCAGTTTGACAAAAGGCCACACCTCATCACACAGATAAATAAATATTAATTAATCTATTAATAATAAACAAAGATATAAATCTTTCTAGATTTACTGTGTAACATTAAAGCAGCTGGAATTGCTTAACAAAAGTTTCAACACAACAAAACAATGTATACGGCTTGTTTTCAACTAAAAACATCACGGAGGCCGGGTGAATGCTGTATAAATATTTAATTACTGTTGCATCCAACTGAACAGCTGATCAGAAGCTAAACAAACTCTTTGCTGCACTTCAGGTTTGAGCCCTGATGGGCATTTGTGGAAATGTGATACTGGCTCCAATCTACTAAACCTGTTGTCTTTAATTTCAGCAGAAAGCACCGAGGTGGTCGTTCACACACATGACAGAAACTGGTTTAGTTTCAGTGACGGTGTGAAAGGAGCTGACAACAGCCAGCCTGTCACACCTCACCAGGGCAGATAACCAGAATCCCAGAGCCCCTACCTGGTCTTTGTTATTACAGTTCACAGCCCCTGGCTTCTTCTTTTTCTTCAGGGGGCTGGGGGAGGTTTCTGAGGGAGAGTGTCCATTGGAGGAATGGGTGGGACTCGTCACCTTGCGCTTCTGTGGTGCTGTTGATCGTTCTGCTGACCCTGGTGGGTCAGGGACTGGGTGAATAAGAACAACAACAGCTTAGAAGCATCAAAACAAGCGATCTGCACCACTAATGCAGTTATGGGATGAACACAAGCCAGCCTGTATCCCTCTCGTCACATTCTACATTACGGGAGGACGTTCAGGTTTCAGATGATTCTTCTGTTACCTCATTTGACACCAAAAGCAATAATAGAACATTTACATGAAAGATATCTAAGCAGCAGAGAGTGCTCCAAAGAAATTGCTCGAAGGCTTCACCCCGTCTAACCAGAGCCTGTGTGGGTTCCTGATATAAACAGGCACACAGCACTCATAATGGATCAGCCATACAGTCATAATGACCATCAAAGCACATTAGACCCTGCTCTCAAAACGGTAAAAATCTATCACGCTCTCCTACACGGTGATGTTTGACTGCTAATGTGAGGTGCACGGCCTTAAGAGACTTACCTTTGGATCGCACAGAAGCATCCATCCCCTCTACCACATCAGACTCGGTCTTTATCTCCTCCTCAGCCAGACTGCAGAGCGACGAACATGAGCACACACAAACACAGAAAAGAGGGGCAAACACAAAGTCAGACCGGGTGCTCACAAACCGTACCAGCGTAACAGTAAACAAGTGGAACACCACCTAAGGCGCCGGGTCTCACGGGATTTGTCAATAGGGACCCGGCTGGTTTCCAGGGGTTCAGCTTTCATTTGACTTTAATGCATTTGAGTCTGGTATTCAAATTTGGTCCATGTTTGCGGTGGCACTCATGTCTGAAAATGTTCTTTATATTCCAAGAGAGAGGAAGGTAACAATCACCATGGCAACGCTCCTCTTCACACAGGATAATTATATATTCACAATGAAACAGAGGGCCATTTAGCTAAAATCTCCAAACATCCCCATTCTCCAGGAATCTGTGCAGCTTCAGCATCTCATTCCAACTAGGTGCTAATCTCTGTGTTTTGTTTATGACAAATAAACCTACAGAGGCAGGAAAACCAGCGGGGAGTTGGCCCATCCAGCCCTGATGAACAGCACGTGTTTCTGGAAGCTTTCAAGCCCTTCAGTAACAACAGGGTCCTCCCAAAGGAGCTAGGCCTTTTCTTAGAAACCATCTTTAAAAGGTTGCTCTAATATTCATCAACTCTTAATAAGCCTCTGGTATAATAAGCCATGTTCTTGAGCTGATTATTAACCTCAACATTTTCCTGTTTTATAAACACCCACTAGTGAACCCCGTAAGCACCAGTCTCTTACTCAGTGTGGTTACATGCACACTGACCAACAGAGTCGATCCAGGTCGATCGTATTGTAAAAAGCCGGGAGTCTTTATCGTAGTTTACATGCACATTACAAAACTGGCCTCTCAAATAAAGTTTGTTCCACTCCGGTACAGTAGGTGGCGACATGCACCCTTTCATGCCGGCATTCTTCTGGTTAGCTTATAGCAACACAAGCAGTAAACAGAGGCTGGCGGGAATGAAGCAGATGGAATAGAATCAGGATGTGCACAATGGCTGAAGGACTGTACAACAACAACGCTGGAACACAGCTTATTTGGTACGTACTGTCCCGTTTTACACGTGTTGATTTGTGAAGACAGTCTTGTCAGATGACCGCTTCCTTGGTGTCGCCACTTCCGGAACACGAGCGTCCTACCAGTTTAGTTCAGCTGACCTGTTTACATGCAGAATGTAATGGAATTGCTACCGCATTATCTGGGAGCTTCAGCTCCGCCTTCAGCCAGACGAACACGCTTACGTGTGATTTAAAAAACCAACGTGCGTCTTTTTAGGGCAATACTTGGGTTTTCTTATGTGCATGAAAACTAATAAATATTTTACAACAGCTAAATATACAATTGACAAGATCCTTGATGTTTGTTGCTCATTTGAAGCGTCGTTTTTAGTTTGAGGAACAAAAAGGCAAAAAATGAGAATAAAGAGATATTAAATGAGGGTTTCTGGTCGTTTTGTGCCTCCTTTGCTAAAGCAGCAGGTTCCAATGGTTCTAACAATGTCCCGTTTATTTACAAGCCTGGAGGAAAAAAGCCCCGATGGGTCACACCCTTGATCAGTTAATAGCTTTAGCTGCACCTCTGGTTTCAGCTAAGACGATGGGGTATCAGGCTACTAGGAGCACCAAGGCCAACCACTTCAGCGGGACAACTTCACTCTCTCACTGACTGATCTAAATGTTTTTAAAGTTTTCTGTTTATAAAGAGAAAATGAACACAAGGCTGATTAAATACCAGCAGAGGGAAAACTGTTTTAAAACTATGGTTATTTAGATCAATCTCAACGTTTCCTGCACTGTAGTTGTAGAACTCTTCATGATACTTACTAAAACCACCAACAGCACACAAAGACCTTCTAAATACAGTCTTCCTTTTTCAGACTGCCAATGTAGCAACCACCAACAGCACATCTAACTAAATCCCAGATAGGAGAAGAAAAAGGCAGCCTGCATTGTCTAAAATATGTCACAAAGACCTGGACAGAGAAGCTTAAGAAATATGGCGCATGAGTTTCAGTTAGCACACACACACACACACACTCCTCTACCCCTTCAGGGCCTTCCTGTTCCGGACAGAGTGAACAAACGAGGCCCAAATGAAAATAAGAAACGTTAGCCGAGTCACTCTGGACCACAACCGTGAAAAGTGAACATTTGCAGCTCAGAGCAAAGTGCCACAACTGTTTTCTTCCTCTATACCTACTAAACACCAAGACGCTGCTGCAACTAGCAGACAAGACAGGAGGACCAGAGGTAGAACAGGCATGATGATCCAAAGGGCATTCTCAGATCAGGAAACATGATCCAGCACACAAGGAGAGTAAGGCGGATAAATCCTCAGCAGGGTCTGAGAAACATTCCAAAGAAACCAGGTTTAGGAAAACAGTATTCCCCCTTCTGCAAACACTGGAGTACCTGATGGACAAAAAGGAAGCAGCACTGAGTCACTGCCTTCAGATCCCACTCCTGTGAGAGACGAGCAGGGTTTCTCTCGTCACAGAAAATGGAGGCCACAGCTTCCTACCCTCCCCCCTCTCCCCCATCCCCCACTCCAAGGCTCAGACTCGGGCACTGGCACATCCATACAGGAGGACCAGCGAGATCTGGGGAGATTTCAGTCCAACGTTTGAGAAAACATGAGCTATGTCAGGAAAAGCCATCACAGCCAATCACAGGAACAGAGGAGAAGCACAGAGCGGAGACACGGGAAAATCCAGCAGCGTGAGAAGCCCTCATCTGTTTTTTTCTCTCATGTTTTCGATCTCTGCTCTTCTCTGTGAACACTGCTGTCAAAGAACAATTAGGTGTCATCTTCAAGGCACAGAAACATTATAAAACCTCGGCCTGTAGGTAAAAATATGCTGTTTTTTACACGTTTCTGATACAAAACTGTTTAAATGAAAACACTGTTTTGTGCTGGAACTAAAATCACTAAAGATAAGTAGCACAGACTAAAAACATGCCACACAAAACCCAGGTTTGGACTCCTATTACCACAAAACAGCTGACAGAAATCAAAACTCACATGCAGATAAAAGAAGAAATCCCTGATTTTAACTTCTGATTTCACTAAGAGTTACTCAGTAAAATAAAAACTCAACATTTCACAAGGTAATGCTTTGTTTGTACAACTAAACCCGTATTGCTAGCCTGAGCAGTATTTTGTGGATAAAAGAGAAGGTTTGACCTGGATTTTATATAAGGTTGAATCAAAGATGGCTGTGGAATTTTCCAGAAGGCCCTGGCTCTCCCTGCTGTTCTCCCTCCGATTGTCAATCTTTAACCTCGGCTCTCGCTGCAATTGGCTGGAGGGCCAGCAGGCTGCAGCGTTATTGGTCGGCTGCGCTGTGCCACACAGATCAGTGTGCAGGCTCCCCTCTTCCTCTTGAAGCTGTTTTGCTGCAATGCAGAGATTTCCTCCTGTATGAAACGGCGCGCTCTTCTTACCTTTAGCTTTCTGTTGCTGCTTATGGCAGCAAAAACCACGAGGAATGATTTTAAAAAGGCCTTTAGGGAGATTAAACCTGTGGTTGTGATTAATACCTCAGCTGCTCCACGTCTGTATTTACGGGCTGCACCAACGCGGACCCAGGCCCTGATCGTTGTCCCTCGTGCTCGGCTCATCTCACTATTAAAACATTTAGATAATGTGTTCATGAGAAGTACGACAGCTTGTTTTCACCAAACCTAACATAAAGGTCAAACAAAGTGTGGCCTAAAAAGACGGTAATGATATTATTTTCAGCTTTTCCTTTTCTTTTGGTAGATCAAAAGCTCCTTCTATCAGCCCACAAGAGGACGAGGCTGTCCTTTGTCCTCCCCACACAACAGAGACAGCTATATCGGTGCAACGTGACGCAACACAACGTACTATGTTCTCATGATTGTATCACGAACTGATCATTTAACTGTTTTTAAACGGAATAAACAAACTTTAATCTGAAAGTGCTTAATAAAATAAACCCGTCTCACCTCTTTGAGTCCTGGTGCTTTTTATCAATAACTACATTTGTGTTTTGTGTGTGAAAGCTAGAAAAATACTCAACCTAGCAACAGGAGAAAGAGAAAATAAAACTAACAAACACACAGCAACACCTATCAGATCCTCTCAGGCATTTAAATATTACATAAGCATGTCAGCAAAACTCCTGCTAACCCTTGTACTGTTTCCTTCTCCTGACATCTGATATGCAAAAGGAGGGCTAAAGTTCTTCTTTACCAACTACAAAATGGCCACTCTGTGTGTGTGTGTGTGTGTGTGTGCGTGTCTGAGAGTGGAGGAAGCAACATGGGGCGGTAACCTCAAGGCCCATGGCTCTAAGAGCTTTGTGGTGTGTGTGTGTGTGTGTGTGTTTTCTAAAAAACTGGGCAGTAAAAATCAGAAGGATTGCTGTGTGTTAAACTGTTTTTTATGTTCACTGAGCAGAATGATGAACAACGTTCTCACAACAAACCTGTAAGTCGGTCTCAAAAATCTTTTTTTTTTTTTTGTTTTTGTTTTTTTGCAGACATAGAACATTTGTTCTTCCTGTCCTCCCTGCCAGGTCCTCAGCACACAAGTTGCTGTTTGTGTACCTTCCTCTGGCCTGGCACAAGACAAAAAACCCAGAGCAGAGCCAGTCCACTCACACGTGCCCTCAAACCCCTGATGCCCATCCCCCAATAGTTGTCTGCCACAAGACTGCCACAACAGAGATGAGACATGGCTGCCATTAGTAAATCCAGTTCTCTGTTGCATTATATTAAAAAAGGAAAAGGATTTGCCATGGTTCACTCTGCCTCCTGTATGGCAGCCTGGTTGTCTGGGGGCACCCCCGTGACCCTGAGACACAGAGAGAGAGCAAGGGTGAGAGTCGTTACCCAACCCCCCACCCTCAACCCTGTGGAGCGCGGAGGCCTGACGAGGCCTCCAATCCACCCCGGCTCCTCCTCCTTCAGCACACTAAACTGAGTTTAAGGGTTGCACATTCATCATTAGAAACCAAAGTCATCGCAAAAGCAAGAAGGAAGCCATGTTGTTATGAGAAGGCTGAGATAAAAAAGACAGAGCTTACCTCTGTGGATGCATGGCTGCCTGACACAATGTTATGTCAACACTTATAAAACATGGAGGACACTCTCAGCTCTCAGCCGGGGAAGGCTCCGCTCTTCAGGCAAGGCGATCAGGCCCCAGCGATGTTAGCCAGATCCTGACTGGTTGCCTACCTCACAGGCGAGATACAAGGCAGCACCTGATTGGCTGAAATGTTTCCTGAGTAATTATCTTTTGTTCACTGCAGGCAGGGGCAGCACTGTGAGAGTCGGAGACAGAGGAAGAAAAATGAGCACAGTGCTAGGTCTAAAACCACACAATTATTGGATCAATATGAGCATTTCTGACAAGCAAACCCTTTGTAACAATGCTCTGAAGGCTTCAGGAGGAGAATCTGGTGGTAGATGTCTCAGCTGAGGGCTTGTAGAGTGGTAGAAGCAGGACACCAGGACTTCTCCGCACAAGCCTCCATGTTTTATGTGGAAAGGGCCTTTGTTGAAACTCCTCCCTCCTTCTCAGCTCTCTCCAGAGGAAAATCCGCTCCTGCTCTTTCCTATTTTTCCCATTTGTACACACAAACAATAGGCAGCAGGTTATAGACTTATTAAACATGCAGGGTAGAATGTATTGATGTGATGCACTTTTTTTTTTTTGTTTTAATGGGTTTGTGATATACATATGGACATAAAGGTAATGCTTGGAAGAGTGTTTAAAACACTGGAAAATAACATTTAGCATTAAAATACTATTTGTGTAAAATAGAGAATTAAAATCAAATGATTATCAGAAAATAGATCTTTGGTGCTAGTAAAAAGCATTTATAACCTGCATAAATCTTTCGTTTTTTATGTCCTTTTGGTCTGTCACTGGCAGTTATAGAAAGCCAAATCATTTATTCAACAGACACGAGCAGTTTATTGAAAGGTGAAATTATTAAAATAGCCCAGCTTTTAAAGTAACACACAATCATTGCACGCAGAATGAGATTACGTAGGCAGCTCTAGGCTTTCAGGACAAATCTAACTTAAAACAACACCATAGACAGGAAATTACAAATATACAATTAGTTTTTTATATTGAATATATTTTTATGTATTGTAGTAAACTTCAATGGTAAAATTATCTTACCCTAACTGTATTTGTGTAATCTTTCTTTAAAACTGTGTGTGACCGCTTTGCTCTGAAACGTCTTTTCTACAATTTTCTACGATTTCGAACCACAAAAGAATGTTCTAATAAGGACAATAATGAAGATTATGATAAATGGCCTGTATTTGATATAGCGCCTTCTAGAGTCCTGGAACCCCCCCCCCCCCCCCCCCCCCCCCAAGGCGCTTTACAACACAATCAGTCATTCGCCCACTGGTGGTGATGAGCTACGATGTAACCACAGCTGCCCTGGGGCACACTCACAGAGGTGATAATGAAGATTATGCTTAAATAATTATTTTCAAGGTACATGTTTCAAACTCACGGCTTAATGGATATTAAATATGCTTCACAGCTGACAAATGTATGATGACGAAACCTTTATGAAGTATAAAAAAATCCATTACTTAATTTTTATCAAAAGGCTTTAAAATGAAAAAACATTTAACGCCCAACGTGGGGCTCGAACCCACGACCCTGAGATTAAGAGTCTCATGCTCTACCGACTGAGCTAGCCGGGCTGTGAGAGGCAGCATTCCATTGACATTTATAACGAAGGCTGGGTGAAGTATGGCAAGCCATATTGGCATTTAAGCCACAACTAGACTAATTGTATTCTTTCTATTCAAAATAGCAAATGAAGACATTAACAGCTACATTGTTACTAACAGAAATTATAATTAAAGATATTCGTAACAATAACCGCGCTAGTAGGAATTAGGTATGAGAAATCTCTAAATTCTTTAAAAATAAGGTGGCCATTTTTTCACACACACACACACACACACACACACACACACACACACACACACACACACACACACACACACACACACACACACACACACATAGACACACACAGACACAGAAGCAAAAGCAGTCTGCAGATATACTAGGGCAATATTTACTGCTTTTTATACGTCAGACATCGACGTATATATGTCGATGGTCAGACGCCATCTTCGTTGTGTGACGTACGCTGCTCAGTGCCGATTGGCTCGGTTAGAATTCTCAAGGGGTGGGGTTTTTTTGTATGGGAGCATTACCAGGCCCTTATTCGCTTCCCACAATGAAGCATTGGTATGGCTGGCCAGGCTAATATCAATAGGGCAAAAGCAAAAAACACAAAAACATAAAATAACTAAAAACTGAACAATCAATTAAGTAAATGAGAAAAAAACAAAAACACAAACACGTGTATACATAAACATACAAACAGCACAACAAATCAATATAACAGACATAACATTCCACAGATGAATAAATGTCTAATTAAAGTAAGATAATAAATGCCTAAAAAGTGAACCACAGAGAACATAATAAACAATTACAAGTGGGCATTATATGTTCTTACATCAAAGTTTTAAACTGACGAAAAGATATAAAGGATCTTAAATCAGCAGCTAAATTGTTCCAATTCATTGGAGCTTTGACAGCTCCAATATTGCAAATACAGGGAGTGCAGAATTATTAGGCCAATGAGAATTTTGTCCACATCATCCTCTTCATGCATGTTGTCTCACTCCAAGCTGTATAGGCTCGAAAGCCTACTACCAATTAAGCATATTAGGTGATGTGCATCTCTGTAATGAGAATGGGTGTGGTCTAATGACATCAACACCCTATATCAGGTGTGCATAATTATTAGGCAACTTCCTTTCCTTTGGCAAAATGGGTCAAAAGAAGGACTTGACAGGCTCAGAAAAGTCAAAAATAGTGAGATATCTTGCAGAGGGATGCAGCAGTCTTAACATTGCAAAGCTTCTGAAGCGTGATCATCGAACAATCAAGCGTTTCATTCAAAATAGTCAACAGGGTCGCAAGAAGCGTGTGGACAAACCAAGGTGCAAAATAACTGCCCATAAACTGAGAAAAGTCAAACGTGCAGCTGCCAAGATGCCACTTGCCACCAGTTTGGCCATATTTCAGAGCTGCAACATCACTGGAGTGCCCAAAAGCACAAGGTGTGCAATACTCAGAGACACGGCCAAGGTAAGAAAGGCTGAAAGACGACCACCACTGAACAAGACACACAAGCTGAAACGTCAAGACTGGGCCAAGAAATATCTCAAGACTGATTCTTCTAAGGTTTTATGGACTGATGAAATGAGAGTGAGTCTTGATGGGCCAGATGGATGGGCCCGTGGCTGGACTGGTAAAGGGCAGAGAGCTCCAGTCCGACTCAGACGCCAGCAAGGTGGAGGTGGAGTACTGGTTTGGGCTAGTATCATCAAAGATGAGCTTGTGGGGCCTTTTCGGGTTGAGGATGGAGTCGAGCTCAACTCCCAGTCCCACTGCCAGTTTCTGGAAGACACCTTCTTCAAGCAGTGGTACAGGAAGAAGTCTGCATCCTTCAAGAAAAACATGATTTTCATGCAGGACAATGCTCCATCACACGCGTCCAAGTACTCCACAGCGTGGCTGGCAAGAAAGCGTATAAAAGAAGAAAAACTAATGACATGGCCTCCTTGTTCACCTGATCTGAACCCCATTGAGAACCTGTGGTCCATCATCAAATGTGAGATTTACAAGGAGGGAAAACAGTACACCTCTCTGAACAGTGTCTGGGAGGCTGTGGTTGCTGCTGTACGCAATGTTGATGGTGAACAGATCAAAACACTGACAGAATCCATGGATGGCAGGCTTTTAAGTGTCCTTGCAAAGAAAGGTGGCTATATTGGTCGCTGATTTGTTTTTGTATTGTTTTTGAATGTCAGAAATGTATATTTGGGTATGTGGAGATGTTATATTGGTTTCACTGGTAAAAATGAATAATTGAAATGGGTATATATTTGTTTTTTGTTAAGTTGCCTAATAATTATGCACAGTAATAGTCACCTACACTCACAGATATCCACCTAAAATAGCCTAAACTAAAAACTACTTCCAAAAACATTCAGCTTTGATATTAATGAGCTGTTTGGGTTCATTGAGAACATGGTTGTTGTTCAATAATAAAATTATTCCTCAAAAATACAACTTGCCTAATAATTCTGCACTCCCTGTAATAAAGGAAATTGTTGATCTCGTGTTTCTAACTGGGTCAAATATAAATTAAGTTTTTTTTTTAAATAAATACAGCTGTACTAGTATAAACTTAGGTTTTGAAAGCAAAAATAAAATCACAGAGAGCAGGAATACAGATTAAATTTTACCTATCGGAAACGAGTTTTTACCAGTATCAGCTGAAATATAGCTACATACTCAATACACATACACTGTGTATGTGACATAATTTGTTGTAGGAATAATTACATTTCAGATGTTCTGCAAAGTGAAATGGCCTTTCTTAGGGTTCTACAAACCACCAAGGCGCTTCACATCACAATCAGTCATTCACCCATTCACACACGCATTCACACGCTGGTGGGGATGAGCTACGATGTAGCTACAGCAGCCTTGAGGCGCACCACCAGCAGGCAAGGGGGTTAAGTGTCTTTCCCAAGGACACAACGGCAGCATTCTCTAGTCGGTAATCAAATATTACAGGTGCTGGCCAGTAAATTAGAATATCATCAAAAGGTTGAAAATATTTCAGTAATTCCATTCAAAACGTGAAACTTGTACATTATATTCATGCAATGCACACAGACCAATGTATTTCCGATGTTTATTACGTTTAATTTTGATATTTATAGGTGACAACCAATGAAAACATCAAATCTGGTATCTCAGAAAATTAGAATATTCTAAAGGCCAATGAAAAAATGTTTGTTTCTCTAATGTTGGCCAACTGAAAAGAATGAACATGAAAAGAATGTGCATGTATAGCACTCAATACTTAGTCGGGGCTCCTTTTGCCTCAATAACTGCAGTAATGCGGCGTGGCATGGACTCGATCAGTCTGTGGCACTGCTCAGGTGTTATGAGAGCCCAGGTTGCTCTGATAGTCGTCTTCAGCTCCTCTGCATTGTTGGGTCTAGCGTATTGCATCCTCCGCTTCACAATACCCCATAGATTTTCTATGGGGTTAAGGTCAGGCGAGTTTGCTGGCCAATCAAGGACAGGGATACCATGGTCCTTGAACCAGGTGCTGGTGGTTTTGGCACTGTGTGCAGGTGCCAAGTCCTGTTGAAAGGTGAAGTCTGCATCCCCATAAAGTTGGTCAGCAGCAGGAAGCATGAAGTGCTCTAAAACTTCCTGGTAGACGGCTGCATTGACCCTGGACCTCAGGAACAGAGTGGGCCAACACCGGCAGATGACATGGCACCCCACACCATCACTGACGGTGGAAACTTTACACTGGACCTCATGCAACGTGGATTCTGTGCTTCTCCGCTCTTCCTCCAGACTCTGGGTCCTTGATTTCCAAAGGAAATGCAGAACTTGTTTTCATCAGAAAACATAACTTTGGACCACTCAGCATCAGTCCAGTCCTTTTTGTCCTTGGCCCAGGCGAGACGCTTCTTGCGCTGTTTCATGTTCAAGAGTGGCTTGACACACGGAATGCGACACCTGAATCCCATGTCTTTCATGAGTCTCCTCGTGGTGGTTCTTGAAGCGCTGACTCCAGCTGCAGTCCACTCTTTGTGGATCTCCCCCACATTTTTGAATGGGTTTGTCGTCACAATTCTCTGCAGGGTGCGGTTATCCCTAGAGCTTGTACACTTTTTTCTACCACATTTTTTCCGTCCCTTCGCCTGTCTGTTAATGTGCTTGGACACAGAGCTCTGCGAACAGCCAGCTTCTTTAGCAATCACCTTTTGTGTCTTGCCCTCCTTGTGCAAGGTGTCAATGATTGTCTTTTGGACAGCTGTTAAGTCAGAAGTCTTCCCCATGATTGTGGTGCCTTCAAAACAAGACTGAGGGACCTTTTAAAGGCCTTTGCAGGTGTTTTGAGTAAATCAGCTGATTAGAGTGGCAGCAGGTGTCTTCTATATTCAGCCTTTTCAGAATATTCTAATTTTTTGAGATACCAAATTTGGAGTTTTCATTAGTTGTCACTTATGAATATCAAATTTAAATGTAATGAACATTGGAAATACATTGGTCTGTGTGCATTGCATGAATATAATGTACAAGTTTCACGTTTTGAATGGAATTACTGAAATATTTTCAACCTTTTGATGATATTCTAATTTACTGGCCAGCACCTGTATGATTTCTTGAATGTGACTAGAAACAATTGATTTATGGATGTCTGGAATTCACATCCAGTCCACTTAATAAATGTTAAAACGGCTTACCAACCTATTCAGTATAACATGGTTGTTATGGGTTTGTCTCGTGCTGCCCTCTACCGCATAAAATAAACCGTAAATAAGAGTTAATACCAAGAGTAAACATGAGTACCTGCTATTTTAAATAGCTGCAAAGTATTAGCCACCCTCTGCTCCTGAAAATAACGGTCAGAAAAAACAGAAGGAAAAAAACGAAGGACAAACTTACTGTCAGGAGTCGCGTGCGATGTTTGCTAATTAATTAATATTAACTTTCACGTTCATTTCCAGTCCGTAGACATAAAGTTTGGCGAAAACAGAGAAAAACTGCAGAAAGAAGAAAATAAGTTTTACGTTCATAAGTAGTGTCGCGTTAACAGTAAACATCCTTTAGCATAAATGTTTACCTAACAGGTGGCGCACGGACAGGTTTAAGGTTCTACTTCCGGTCAAGTAAACAAAAGACTGGTAATTTTCAACATAAAAGTTTAACTAATCATATATTTACTAACTTTTCTCATTTGTATAAAACAAAACAACTTTGGTATTTAAATAAATTAATTTTGTGCCTGTTTTAACTTTTTAGAATTACCCATATTTTGTAAATGTATGCAAAATATATTTAAAAATGCCTACACTTCATCATGATTTCAGAATTTCAATGTTTTCCACTTGAATGTTTTATCTGCAGTTTATTTTAATCATTGGTGTGCCTTCATTTGTTTGGGAAAAACAGCAAAAATGCAAATATCTAAGCCACAAATTATAAAACACACATTCAGCATTAGGCCTACATAGCCATAGTCTTTAGGGAAGAAATGCATACTTCTGTTCTTTGTAACAGTTGAAACAATTCAGTCCTAGCAAGTGCAATGTTGGCTTTTGGGTGAAATAGAAAACTAATTTAAAAAAAGTCGAGCTTAACTACTACTTTTGTGTTTTACCTTGGGGAAAATATGTTGCTGGGGTGATTAGAAATCAAATTAGGGCTATACCTGAGCTACCTTCATTCCATAATTAGTTTACCATAAACTATGTTTGGAAATTATTTTAACGGAAATAAGTTAGATATGTAAACATATATTTTTTTTATACCAATCTGTAGACGAATCAGTTCTCACAGCCCTAGCTCTGCACTCCGAGCTCCGAGGAACGCGTCATGCAAATTGTGGGTGCTTACGTGAGGTACGTGAACGCAGCACGGTGATGGACTCTCCTCTACGTCAGCGACGCTGGGCGGTTCATGAATGGGGATCTGAAGTGGGAGGGTCCGCCATCTGACTTCCAGGCAGTAAAAAAGTGGGTGTTGTTTTGTGCTGTTGTGGCTGCTCTCCTGAGTGTGTTTAAACGGTTTAAACCTACAGTCATTGGTTTAAACACACCAGCAGCTAGCGCGTCGCGTCGGTGTGGTAGCGGACTACCGTGGAGGGGATCAGCCGCACAGGCCAGCTGCAGCTCACAGCAGCAGCAGGGGAAACCTGCACCTCCAACACCCGCCGCACTCTCTGCGACAGCTGAACTACAAACAGCAGAGTCCGTTCTTTTGAGCCATGGGGTTCCGCAAGAAGAACAAGAGTCCGCCGGTGCTGAGCCACGAGTTTGTGATCCAGAATCATGCAGATATGGTGTCGTGCTTGGCTATGGTTATCCTACTCGGCCTGATGTTTGAGGTACTGTGAGTGTGGAGCTCCTAGCTGCTGCTAGCTTTAGTTAGCTCACATGCTTCATTCCCTTCTCATGTGTCTAATTAGAAAACGTGCACGTGATCACCAGCTACACACCGCTTTCATGCTGCTAACCAAAACCTGCAATATGCTTTGGTCAGCTGGTTGATCAGGCTAAATGTTTGCCTGGAGGCTGCTGCACATTTGATACAGCAGCTACAGCTGACATGGGTGAGGGAAACTAGATAGCCTTCCTTCCCCTAACCTGTTTTCGCCCAGTCTGCCTGCAGGGGCCCTTTTATTAAAATATTTCTCCATAAAGATTTAATATGTAATCCTACTTAAGGAGAAGATTATCAAAAAATAATAATCACCACAACAGAGTTCTTTAGTTTAACTCTTAAATGTTTCAAATCAACATTTCAGTATCTGATTTTTTAAAAATTGCCAAGAAAAACGGCCTTTTTAAAGTTACAGGTATAGCATTTATTAAGGGGAAATGTTATAAAAACCCACCTGGCCTAGAGTGAAAAACCTACTGACCCTGAAACATGATAGCTGGTTGTAACCCCAGACCATCACACTACCACCACCATGTTTGACTGTTGCTTTGATGATATAGTTATTTTTTATATGCAGTGTTAGCTTTAAACCAGATGTAATGGGACACACACCCTCCAGAATGTTAAACATTTGTATCATTAATCCATGGAATAGTTGCCCAGAAGTCATCAACCAGGCATCTGTGTTCTTTACGGTCAGCAGAGGGTTTGGCCTGTGCCTGTCTTATTATTGAATCTTGAACTTTGACCTTAACCTTAAGTTGACAAATGGAGACCTGTCAGTGCTTTAGATTATTTTCTGAATACTAATGTTTATTTATTTGCATTAGTGCATGACACGTTGCTTTTTGAGATATTTTATGCTACTTTGTGTTGTCACACAGGTGATGTCTTAGTTCTAAAGTAATCAGGCCTGGTTGTGGCCCAAAGTTTCATCATTCAACATTAGATTAAGTTATCTTTTAAAATTGCATTTTGTTTTTGCAAATTTTTTACGTATAAAATGATCACATTCTTCCAGTTTAAAAGGGGCATCTGGCAGAAACTGAGTTCTCCTAACATTAGCCACGATAACCCGTTGTCTTTAAATTTTATTTTATTTTTTGCAACAGGTCACCGCAAAGTTTGCGATCATGTTCATCACAGTCCAGTACAACGTAACCCAAGGTCTCGGTGAGCGGATCAGAACGGAACCAGAACTGGTCATTAATGTTTACTTCTGTTATTTCATTGTTTAGTTCTTTGATTGGTTCTTATTTTTGTGTCTGTTTAGACGAGATAAGTGAGCCGGTGAACCTTTACCAGTATGGCCCTAAAGATGTGGCCACAGTCTTCTTCTACCTGCTCATAGCGGTCATTCTTCACGCCTTGATTCAAGAATACATTCTTGATGTGAGTACATTGTTTTTGTTTTAACCCGCTTGGATGAAAACACCCTGGTTTATTTCAAAGGGATCAAAGTATCACAGGTTTCGTTGTCATGTGTGCATCCTCTGTTTTTGATCTTGATTGCTGTTTGTTAACGACCAAATTCCACATCTTTCTTTGTGTGAGACCTGAAGCAAAATCAATGAGCCACCTTGCTTTGGTGACTATTCGCTCTGGGAGGTTGCTGCAAATGAAGAATATTGTTTTTAATGCTAAAAATAATCAAATTTAATAAAATAAGTATTTTATTTTGAAAAAGTTACATCTCTCAGGGTCACAGCGATCTATGTCTGTCTTTGAACATCAGCCAGATGATTTTATTGGCCTTTTTTCTTGGTGTCTGTTTTTCTTCATCCAAGTTTTTAACAAATGCCTCCTCAAGTTCTGGCCCGTGTGATGAGACAGTTGCATCTCATCTGTACCCCAACACATGCATAAGGAAAGTCAGGAGCATTAAAAGTGTATATATACACACACACACATTTTAACTTAAACTTAGTTCTTTTATTTTCCTGCTGAATCTAAATGGATCCGTATTTGTTCACGTGGAAACCAGAAGCTGTAAGAAGTTATTGATCTCTTCATAGACCGCCTGGTTTCTGGTGTTCGTTGAGCCTCCAGTTATCAAGTCAAGTTGCACACTGCTATTTAATTTAGAAGTGAAAGTACTGAAGCACAGTGAGACATTTCTCTGAATTAGACCTTTGCAGGAGAAAACCTCATTTGTCCAAAGTGGTGATGCAGCCAAGTCACCTCCTGATGCAGTCACATCTCATCCTGTCAGCCACATTATCTGGGTATTAGTGAGGGAATTATATTGATCCAGCCAGGCAAAGTGGGGCAATGTGAGTCCAGATTTAGTCGTTTTCTAACCAGTGTAGGGTTTCAAGTAAAGGTTCTGTTGTCTTTATCATGAAATAAGTTTTAGGAATTTTTTTTGTTTATGTAAATTAAACCTAAAAATGTTCCCTGTACAAATATCTTTATGATGAATTACAGGGAGTGCAGAATTATTAGGCAAGTTGTATTTTTGAGGAATATTTTTATCATTGGACAACAACCATGTTCTCAATGAACCCAAACAACTCATTAATATCAAAGCTGAATGTTTTTGGAAGTAGTTTTTAGTTTTGGCTATTTTAGGTGGATATCTGTGTGTGCAGGTGACTATTACTGTGCATAATTATTAGGCAACTTAACAAAAAGCAAATGTATACCCATTTCAATTATTTATTTTTACCAGTGAAACCAATATAACATCTCCACATTCACAAATATACATTTCTGACATTCAAAAACAATTCAAAAACAAATCAGCGACCAATATAGCCACCTTTCTTTGCAAGGACACTCAAAAGCCTGCCATCCATGGATTCTGTCAGTGTTTTGATCTGTTCACCATCAACATTGCGTGCAGCAGCAACCACAGCCTCCCAGACACTGTTCAGAGAGGTGTACGGTTTTCCCTCCTTGTAAATCTCACATTTGATGATGGACCACAGGTTCTCAATGGGGTTCAGATCAGGTGAACAAGGAGGCCATGTCATTAGTTTTTCTTCTTTTATACGCTTTCTTGCCAGCCACGCTGTGGAGTACTTGGATGCGTGTGATGGAGCATTGTCCTGCATGAAAATCATGTTTTTCTTGAAGGATGCAGACTTCTTCCTGTACCACTGCTTGAAGAAGGTGTCTTCCAGAAACTGGCAGTAGGACTGGGAGTTGAGCTCGACTCCATCCTCAACCCGAAAAGGCCCCACAAGCTCATCTTTGATGATACCAGCCCAAACCAGTACTCCACCTCCACCTTGCTGGCATCTGAGTCGGACTGGAGCTCTCTGCCCTTTACCAATCCAGTCACGGGCCCATCCATCTGGCCCATCAAGACTCACTCTCATTTCATCAGTCCATAAAACCTTAGAAAAATCAGTCTTGAGATATTTCTTGGCCCAGTCTTGACGTTTCAGCTTGTGTGTCTTGTTCAGTGGTGGTCGTCTTTCAGCCTTTCTTACCTTGGCCGTGTCTCTGAGTATTGCACACCTTGTGCTTTTGGGCACTCCAGTGATGTTGCAGCTCTGAAATATGGCCAAACTGGTGGCAAGTGGCATCTTGGCAGCTGCACGCTTGACTTTTCTCAGTTCATGGGCATTTATTTTGCGCCTTGGTTTGTCCACACGCTTCTTGCGATCCTGTTGACTATTTTGAAACCAACTCAACTTTATTTATAAATTGCGCCTTACAGGCAAAAACATGCCACCAAGGCGCTACACAGACAAAGTAAAAACATAAAACATTAGGTCCAGAAAATAAAAACTTTGGGTCACATGATACAGACGAACACAGTGAATGCACGGATCACTTTAAGTAAAACAATAAAAACTAGTTAGAAAGATTAAAAGACAGATCATAAAAGTAGGTTTTTAGCCTTGCCTTAAAATCCGCCACAGAGGTGGAGGCCCTTATGCTGAGAGGAAGCTCGTTCCAAAGCTTAGGACCTGCCACAGCAAAGGCCCTATCACCACGCGTCTTTAGGCGATCTTGGGACCGAGAGGAGCGTGAGATTCTCCGAGCGGAGTGACTGAGCAGGGGTGTGCGGTTGAAGCAATGACACCAAGTAAGGAGGGGCCAAACCATTTAACGTTTTAAAAACCAGCAAAAGTATCTTAAAACAAATCCTTACATCAACGTTCATGCTAATGAAGCGCAGCCAGGACACGGGTAATGTGATCATACTTGCACCTGCCCTCTAAAAATCTGGCAGCAGCATTCTGCACCATTTGCAACCTGGCTATTGAGCCCTTGCTCACACCAAATAAAACAGAGTTACAGTAGTCCAATCGCACCGTAATCAAAGCATGGATTTCCATCTCAAGATCATGTCGTGACAGGAAAGGTTTGATCTTTTGACAGCCGACAAAGGTGGAAAAAGGAGGAGGAGATCACTCCATTAATGTGGGTGTCAAAACAAAGGGCACTGTCTAGTTTAACACCAAGATAAGTCAGTGGGAGATGATGTGAGCGTTGAGACATGGTGCTTTATCCTGCTGCAGGAGATGGGTCCACACAGTCACAAAGGGATGGACATGGTCAGCAGCAATAGGCTGTGGTGGTTAAATCAGGCTCGGGTGGTACTAAGGGGAGCAGAACATCCCCCCGCCGTTACACCACCTGAAGCACTGATACCAGGCAAGATGGATCCATGGTTTCATGTTGGAGAAACCAGATTCAGCCTCCACCATCTGAATGTTGCAGCTGAAATCCAGACTCATCAAACCAGGGAAGGTTTTCCCAGTTTCCTTTCGTCAAGGATCAACATGTTGTGGTTCAGAGGTTCTGCAGACCCTTGTTGTCTTTCACTGGTCTAGAACCAGTCTGACCATTCTCTGACCTTACTCGGCCCGTTACTGTTCAACCTCTATATACTGCCCTTAGGAGCCATTTTCAGAAGGCACGCTGTCTCATACCATCTTTACGCTGACGATTGTCAAATCTACTTTTCATTCAAGCCAACTCAATCAACGAAAGTTCTGTCTGATTGTATCCTTGAGGTCAAGCAATGGCTAGCTGATAACTTCCTCCATCTTAATGACTCCAAAACTGACTTAATCGTTTTCAGTCCTAACAGTACCACGGCAACTCAACAACCTGACCTCAACTATCTCTCACCTAATGTATCCTCTGTAATCTCCAACCTTGGAGTAAAAATGGACCAGGCTCTGAAGATGGATGCCCAGGTCAATAACACAGTTAAATCATGTTTTTACCAACTAAGACGCATCTCAAAACTAAAGCACATCCTGAGTGTACGTCTTCTGAAATCTGTGGTCCACACTTTTATCACCTCAAGGCTGGATTACTCTAACTCCTGCTTATACGGCATCAGTAAAGCAGCTCTTTCTAGACTTCAGCTGGTCCAGAATTCAGCAGCTAGGTTGCTGACTGGAGCTGACAGAAGACAACACATTTCTCCAATTCTGAAATCTCTCCACTGGTTGCCCGTGCAGTTCAGGATAAACTTCAGAATTATGCTTCTGACTTACAAATCCTTGAACCATCAAGCTCCTCCATATCTGTGTGAACTTGTCCATTTCTACAACCCGCCGCGTGCTCTCAGGTCCGAAGATAAGCTCCTCCTAGCTGTTCCAAATGCACATTTAAAAAGCCGTGGAGAGAGGGCTTTCTCTGTCTGTGCACCGAAGCTGTGGAACGCATTACCACTGCTAGTGAGGCAAGCACCAACAGCTAGCATTTTTAAATCACACTTGAAAACTCACTATTTCAACCTAGCTTATACCACATAATTATGACCATCACTTACATCTGCATTGTTTAAAAATGGAATCCACAATATCAACTTCCGTACTATTGAGGTTCTTCTTAAAATACAATACATTTTTAAAGTACAAAATACTAATTCAAGGTCACTTCAGGTATTTTTTACTGTCAGCACATGGTAGGAGCAGCTGAGGGCAGGGACATAAGAATAAAGTAACACACTATTGTTACTTGACCAACTGCTAATTTCACACAGAGCAAAAATCCTCCTGCAGTGTTTTGTGATGCTGCTTAAAATGCGCCATGAGATTGGACATATTTCACTTCCCTGGTTCTGTTCCACCGCGGGAAGCTTGTGCATGACAAGTGTTGCACTGAGCCACACTATCGTTTTTGGACTTTAACGAAAAAGACCCAAACACGGCCGACGTCGCTCTTGTTCCTTGCTACTTCGATAGCACACGTAGGCTTTGCATGCTGGATCTGAGCGCTGCTGGATAGAATTGATGGAATGGAATTTAAATCGGAACGGACTGCTTCTTGAACTGATATCGGACCTATTTCCGTTATCAGTGTCTGAACTGGACATCCCTAATCTGTGATATACTTGGACTTGCACTGGTACTCACAACTCTGCCACATTCAAAGCCTTTTAAATCTCCCTTCTGCTCTGTTGAGTTTAAACTAACAATAGTCACCACATGTGATTGGCTTATTAGCGGTTTGTGTTAAAAAGCAACAGAAGAGGTTTACCTGATAAACTGGCCAGCGACTGTGGGCCTAGATGATGTTGAAAAGGAAGTTTTAGATCCTTCAGTTTATGATGCCACACTGATTGGGATAACCTTGTGTGATATTTGTTGCAGAAAATTAATAGAAGGTTGCACCTGTCAAAAACCAAACACAGCAAGTTCAACGAGTCTGGACAGCTGGCAGCGTTCTACCTGTTCTCCTTCATCTGGGGCTGCAGCATCCTGACATCGGTACGTGGTCCTGGACTCGCACCAAAATGCCATCCCAGGATGCATTGGACCTTATGTCATTATGTCATTCTAGTGATGCACCGATATGAAATCTTTGGGCCGATATCCGATATTAATATCACTGTTATGGCCGATAATCAATATTTGCCCATACCGATACACTGATGTTAATGCTTCTAAAATCAGCAGATTTTGTATAGAATGAAAATGATTAAAGCTGAATTTACGTTATTATTTACTCACACCACACATTTATGCTTCTGAGATGATTACAATCACTGTCACATGGCTAAACAATTACTCATCACCCCCCTCACCCTCTGAAACAGATACACAAATGGAAACGAGATGGAAAAAATATCGGTTGTTAATATCAGCCCTGTTTTAGTTATCGGACCGATACCAATATTTTAAAAATGACTGATATCGATGGTGATGGTGATATATTGTGCATCCCTATGTCTTTCTTTTAATCTTGTCACAGGAGGACTTTGCAACCAACCCTACTTTCCTGTGGGAGGGATACCCACACACTCACATGGTGTAAGTACAGATCTTCAGAGAACTTGTAAAAGATTGATCTGCTATTTCTAAGAAATACATAAAATTTAACTTTTAAACACGTTTCATTTAGTAAATACTTGGGATGCTCCGATCTGACATGATCGGAAATTGGAATCCTTTGGAAAGACCGGACAAGCCAGCCGACACTAAAAGATACGTTATAAAACAAGAAATTGTCTACAGACAGAAAAAAATGCTAAGCTAGCAGTATGATCTACTTTCTCTTTAGCAGGTGTTTTGTAGAAAGTAGTGACCCTGCTGCTGACCGTCATGTGCCGTGCCATCCCTGTCTCGCAAAACAACCGCACACTGAGTAAAGGACATGAAATGTGAGCGACAATGCTACTTTTACGTTTGTTCTTAATTTTAACACGTTTAATGTACTTCCTGAACGAGTGATGTTTTATGGCCCGTAAAAACAGAAAGAAATGCATAAATGATTTAAATCAACTTAAAGGACAACTCTGCTGTGTTCTCCCGTTTTCTTAACGCTCTTCTAAAGTACTGGATCGGGACTCTTATCGGCAGATTCTTAAAATCAAATGACTCCGATGGGGAGCCATTCAACTTCAGGGTTCATTTCAAGATCCTGGTTCTGGTCTTCAGGGCCTTACATGGACAAGCACCATCATACATTGGTGATCCTCTCAGTCCCTACACCTCCAGCAGGTCCCTGAGGTCCAGTGACCAAAGCTTACTGGTTGATCGGAACATCCCTAGTAAATACTAGTAAACTTTCTACTTTAAACGTTGTTGTTGTTTATCCATATCTGATTGCGGGTTGCGTTCTCTTGATTTTACGTTTACCGTCTAACCGCTTCTCAGCTTGGAGAACATGGACTTGGGTAAAAATCCAGTGATTAAACATCCTGCTCTCTGTTTAGTTTTCAGGTCAAGTTTTTCTACATTTGCCAAATTGCCTATTGGCTCCACGCACTTCCTGAGCTGTACTTTCAAAAGGTTCGGAAGGTAAAGGTTTTAAACAGGCCTTTTAACACTAATATATATATGTGTGTGTGTTTGTGTGTGTGTGTGTGTGTGTTTAATTCTGTCCTCTCTCCTTGTCTGTTTTACTCCTACAGGAAGACATCCCTAGGCAGCTTTACTACATCTGCCTTTATGTTGTCCACATCACTGGTGCCTACGTCTTAAAGTGAGTCAGAAGGCTCAGCTTCATTCTGGGAATCCACAGGAAGCTTAAACGTGACGTTTTGTTATTCCAGCCTCCACCGCCTCGGACTGGTGCTGCTGGTGCCTCACTACCTGGTGGAGCTCCTGTTCCATGCTTCCCGTCTCTTCTACTTCAGTGATGAGAACAAGCAGAAGGGGTATCCCTTTATGTCTTTGTTGTTTCTCTTCATTTCCGCACGTTTTTGAGCACGTACACAGCTCTTGTCTTTTCCAGATTTACTCTGTGGGCACTGCTTTTTGTCATTGCCCGTCTCCTCACGCTCACACTCTCGGTCCTGACGTTCGGCTTCGGCCTTCCCCGTACGGGAAACCAAGGGTTTTCTCTTGCAGATGGTAACTTCAATGTGCTCACCATAAGGTAAGGGTGTGGAAACTTTCAAACAGTTTCGCCCAAGTCCAGATGTTAATGGTTAAAACGTTAACCCCAGGATGACCTGCCTAGCAGCCATCTGCCTGACTCAGGCCTGGATGATGTGGAAGTTCATTAATTTCCAGCTGAAGAAGTGGCGAGAACACAGCCAGAACCTAGCATCGAAGAAGAAGACGGTCAGCCCGAAGATCAAGCCTCCTAAAAGGGACACGATGAAGGGTGAGAATGTCATCGATCTTTAGATTTAACGCTGATAATTGGGACAACTCCCTGGAATCAGGGATGACTGGTAAAGTTTGGATGACCCTGTTTTCTCAGGAGGAGCCACCAACGGGGTCGTCAAGTGTGAGGAGAAGCTGTCGCCGCGGGCGAGAAAATCCAAAACTTCATAAAGGAGGAGGAGTTGATGGACGATGAGTAAAGGAGTTCTGACCATGTGACTTCATGTCTCTAACAAAACATCTCATTTTATCTGCTGCTCTCCTAACAACCGAAAGGAATCGCGCTAAGAAACTTTACACCGACGCTTGGGGCGCCCCGTTCAGATAAAGTTCAGTGTTGCTGGGAGTGTTTACGATCCGGGCTGGTTCTGATGCTTTAACAGGATGGATTTAGCTCTTGAAAGTGTCCTTTAGTGTAAAACTCACCTTTAAACAGAGGAGCTCTTCTATAATCTACCATGTAACCGGTACCCTTCACACACACAAAAAGCCAATGTTGACTTCAGGTGAACTTCTTGTTAGTAACAATGAGCTGCACAGGGTGTGGTTCGAAGTTTGGGCCTTACTTGACGTCCTGCCGTTTTCAGGAAAAGAAGAAATCCTTCTAGGAGACGGTTGAAGATAGTCGGTGTAGCTGCAGCTGGAACAGCCAGGCTGCTTTTCCACTCCTTAATCTTTTACTGCCAGTCGCCGCTGAAATCCACCCTGTTAGAGGATTGAGGCACCTTTTTATATTCCTTCTGGATATCTTACTGTCCTGATAATCAACCTGTGACAGAAACTGGTGTGATGCTCTGTGTGATCTTTATAATGGTGATTGGGAAAAGGTACATGCTTCTGGGGATGCGTTTAGGTCTTTTATATGTGAAGCATGATGGTTTAAGGCTAAAAACTTTACAGCTAGTCTGTACACGTACACACACACACACACACACACACACACACACACACACACACACACACACACACACACACACACACGAGCATCCAGTGGCCTTTTTACAACTGCTGCAAGAGTTTTAAGTTGTTTACTTTTATCATAACCTACCAGATCCTTGTCTATATGCTTTGGGGAGCTGTAACCGGCACACACAGCGGTACATAGCAAACTGTATTTAGTTAATCCCAACAATACAAACTTTTCTCAAGTGTCCTTAATGGTTTTATCACTCGTCCTGCTTGTGTTCTGTGCTTAGTTTGATTTAATTTTTATATTCTGTGGTATCAGGTGACACGCTATATACAGATCACACCCTAAATGTGTCCCATGATTTAATGGGAGGTGTGTTTGTGTGAGTGCTTGTGCTTTTTTGTGTTTGTGTGTGTGGGTGTGTGTGTGTGTTGAACTGGATGATGATGACAATGCTTGTGTTGTTGACGAAGATCATGAAAGTGACAATCTGAACATTGACTCCTGCCTGTTTGTTGTAGTTTACAGTTGCAGCCTGTTGTGGTTCTGACTGGTTCTGGTTCTGGTCGGGCCTGTCCCCGTTTCCGACATGCTTCTGTGTGTGAAACACTAACTTGTGGATACGTGTGTTATTGGTTCCTTGCGTGTTTGAATGTCTCTGGTGTCTCTGTGACAGAGACTTTTATTCTTTGCCAAACATGGCGCGTTTTAAATCCTCCCTGTTTCCTCTTTTCAGTGATCCTGACTTTGCTCTTGTATTCAACACACATTTAAATAAACCACTGTGCCAGAGACGGCCAGAACAGGAATAGACTGTGCTTCCTGTGAGTTGACAGTTGTTTTGTTTTGTTTTTTTTGGTTGGGGGGGTGGGGGGGGGTAAGTTTCCCTGGTTTCTGGCTGTCTCTCAAGGCCTGTGCTTGTGTCAGCATGGTCAAAGGAGGAAAGGATAAGCAGAGGAGAGCACCAGCCTCTCTCAGAAGTAAAAGAGTTAAAAAACAACAACTAAACCCTACACTGTACTAAGATATATGTCAGATTTTAAAGCTATTTTTATATGAAAAACTGTTCTAATTGACTGTTGTTCAGTATACATGTGTGAATATTGGATTGGCATTTATGTTTTTAATGTTTTTTTAATTCTAAGAATGAAGCTTGCTGGACTGTTTGTGTGCCGACCTGTGCTATGGGTGCATGTTTTAATTTAGCCCGATGGTCAATGTAACGTAATGGCCTTATTTACAGCAAAGTTGGCACCATGCTGCACATGGGCGCTGCAGCTTTCACTGACATAACATCAATCTGGTTTTAAAGAGTAATCACAGCTAGAGAAGGTCCAAGCTTTAGGCTTTGGTTTTAAAGTAATATACAGCTGGAATATGAATCCAGAGCTACACACACACACACACAAATGCCCCCACCCACTATTTTGAACTGTCTTATGCAGCCCAATTTTGCTCATTTTGGTCTGTTTCAGCAGTGAATTCATTCAACAATTGAGAGCCGGTTGAAAGTGAAAAGGTGTGCGAGTCAAACGTATGAGCTGCCTCTAGATGGCAACAGTCCTTGAGCATTTAAACATTAAGTCACAGTTTAAAAGAGCACTTGCGTAGAAGACACGTGTGTTATAATCTAATAATTCAGTCTCTTTTGCTTTTGTGTTGTTGTTTTTTTTTAGTTAGTTTTGCAATTTATTATTTTTGTGATTTTTCCCTTTAGCAATGTCGCTTCTGATCTTCTGATGGTATAGAGACAGAACATATAATTTGTCTGTGTATGTGTGTGTGTGTGTGTATATATATATATATATATATATATATATATATATATATATATATATATATATATATATATATATATATATATATATATATATACATATATATATATATATATATATATACATATACACACATATACAGATATGTATACATATGTATACATATACATATACATACATATACAGATATGTATACATATGTATACATATACATATACATATATGTATACATATGTGTGTGTATATATATATATACATATATGTATATGTATATATATATATATATGTATATGTATATGTATACATATATGTATATGTATATATATATATATATACATATACATATATGTATACATATATGTATATGTATATATATATATATATATATATATATATATATATATATATATATATATATATATATATATATATATATATATATACACACACACACACAAATGATTGCATTTTTGTTGATTTATCTATCACTATTATTTCATGTTTTGAGTAAAGCTTTTGTTATGAACCCTAATTTTATGTTTTTAACTACCGTTTGTAGAATGACTGAAATGTTATAAAAAAAATAAAGGCCCGACATTTCTTGATTCATGTAAGAGTTTATCCTCTTATGCTGACAAAGGAAGGAGGCATAGATTGCATGTGATCTCACATAATATTGTCAGATTGAATAATCTGCTTGAAGAATGTGTTTGGGTTGACACTTGGCTGCAACCACATCAGGTTATAGCTCAGTATCCGTGAACCGTAGTTACAACCAACTGAGTTACAGTAACTGAGGTAATTTGGCTGCAGGTGGGCGTGGAGTGATCAGTCTGATATTCTGCCATCAGGGTTGACTCCAGCACCAAAGAAGGAAAAGATCTACTGTAGGTGAGCGCCATCAACACGAAGACTGAAGCACGTCTTCCTTCTTCTGTTGTTCAAACATGAAGCCAAAATACCTCGTATACATGCTGCCATTTTGTTTTGTTTTTTGGATCCATGCTCTGGGCGCTTGGCTTGTGGGGCAGAATGTCTCCCCTGCACACACCATCATGAAGTTATTTTAAAACACACATACGGGGAAAATGAGCAACAGCATGGGTAAATACGCACGAACCAACTGGAAAAATAAAGTGGGCAGTTTTCTAATTAGGATATTCAACCACACCTGCAAGTCATTTCTGCCGGAGAGAAGGCTCAAGTTCCTTTTCTGAAAATGTGCATTTTCTAATGAAATTACTTGATTTTAGGACGATTAGTTGATGTTTTAAAACTTTTAGACAAAGCAGCAATGAAGTTAAATTTATATTCAAATAACTGTTTGGCTGTTTGTTTAAAAGTTGTTAATAAATGTTTCTGAAAAAAGTATCACAGCGACCAGCATCCCGGCATGCGTTGCGATCGATGATGCAATGCTCCCTGTCTCAATTCTGCAATTATTTGCACACTTGTGTATTTCGCACTCGAAGCCTTACAGCGCTCTTTCTCCAAGTGCACTTTGGTGAAGTCTGCAGGGCGCAGTGCGAGGATTGAGCCTAAGTCAGCTCCACTCCACTCCACACCACAGCTCCCTCCACGAGCAGGGAGTGGCCCGGCAACTCTGGAGTTGCAAGTGTGGTATTCTGGCCACAGGGGGTGATGGGGTCTGAGTGGCGTTTCATTAATCCTGTAAATGGTCGTTTTAGCACATGCTGGCTCAAGAAAACGATTTAAAAATATGAAAAAGTTGCAAAGTATCCCTTTAAAGGTCTGGATGTGAGATTTTATTTTTCTAGGCATAGATTGAGTGGTAGCTAACATTTCAAACTTTAATCGTTTCCTACTTCATCTGCCATTAATTAAAGAACAACAATACCCTGTTTGGCTCGCATGAATCCTGGGATGGGCTTTGACTGAGGATGCACCAAACCTCTACTTAAAATTCACACAAGATGTGGACACTTGAATATCCCTTGAATTCTGACGGTTTTCACTTCACAGAGAGAGAGAATGGGTAGATGTCCGTCTTGAATTGGGGGGCCTCAAAAGGTTAATAGAGTTGAAATAAAATCCATCTGGGGGTTCTTGACATATTTTGCTGACCAACAAATTGACGGTAAAGAGAGTTGGTAAATAAAATCACCTGCTGATTTACTTCTTATGTCACCTATTTGAGGATCAACTTTACTAGAATCATTTATTTTTCTGCATGCGGAATGTTGAAAACATTAGCCAGGTTGTCGTTAGTACCATCCAACACCAGGGGGCAACACCGAGCCCTTTGCCCGAGGGACAGAGGCAGTCTTGAGGCATAGCTGCATACAGACCTGCATTAATAAATCACCATTCTGTGGGAGAAAGACAGAAATCTTGTTCTATTATAAAATAGGTTATGCAACACTTAAAACAGGCTATGTGTAAACAAAATTAACCCTTTAGTGGCTTAAAGTACATCTTCAACCAGATTTCCTTCTCTGTTTTAGGTTTTATGGCTAAGCCTCCCTGTAGTTTGACAAGCTGGACTTTGATATATATGGCAGTATGGATGAATGGTGAAGAATCATCACAGCACAGTTGAGAGACACCTGCAACTCGCAGCCGATGTTGTTTCAGACTAATGGCTTTTCTCCTGGTAATCGGACAGCTTGATGGATCAGTGGGAACCAGAGAGGCAGGGCTGGAGCTCTGCAGGGTTAGCACAAGGACAGGAGTGCACTAACATGCTCTCCATCATACACTCACTGATGGCTGGACAACAAACCCGAACATACATGACTGACTGGAGTCCTGTCACAAGGCAAAAATCTGCGGGAAGTTTTGACGAATGGGTGGGAAAAGGCATGGAGGGATGTGAAACTACTTTTTTTTTGTCCGTGCCCTCCCCTTTATCCAATGAGGATAAATGTCTCGCTGAATCATCAGTATTATGTGTAATTTCCATATAAATTAGCCTCATTAAAATGGGAGTACTTTCTTGTTTAACGAAGCTCATTTGGAATTCTGTATTTAATAAGACATGTAATCCCAGACTTGCAGACTAATAGCAAGCAATTAGCAGGACAGGAGTGTGTGTGTGTGTGTGTGTGTGTGTGTGTGTGTGTGTGTGTGTGTGTGTGTGTGTGTGTGTGTGTGTGTGTGTGTGTGTGTGTGTGTGTGTGTGTGTGTGTGTGTGTGTGTGTGTGTGTGTGTGTGTGTGTGTGTGTGTGTGTGTGTGTGTGTGTGTGTGTGTGTGTGTGTGTGTGTGTGTGTGTGTGTCAGAGAGCACAAGTAGAAAACAGAGGTAGGATGAGGAAAATGTGACATAAAGAGGAAATTAACGGTGATATGAGTTCAATGGCATGAAGCTAAACTTGCAGTCTGATTTGCTCGTCTTAGAATGGTCTTGCCCCAAATAATTCAATAGAGACTTCATAATGTTCTAGGTTCCTGGTGAGCAGAGGTGGGACTGACATTTAATCTGTTAAGCGTGATAAATAAGTATCGTGTCACATCTGATCATCCTGGTGCCAGAGGAGGAAGTAGTAGAGAAATTCAGACTGCTCTCTGTTAATCCACATCTCCCGTTCCATCTGGTGAGATCCCAACATGCCGGGAACACTTCGCCCAGGACACCACCAGGGGGCATCCTCGTGATCACGTGCTCAAACAACCTTGGTGGGATTCTGTCAGTGAGAAGGAGCAGCAGCCCAATCTCTACGGCCAACCCCGGCCACCCTGCAGGGTCATTAACCAGCTCACAGTCATAGGTGAGAGCATGAATGAAGACTGACTGGTAAACCAGTCCATGATATCACTGCATTCATGTGATCTGACTGTAAAACAACAGCAGCAGTTGCATTCAAAGAAGAGGAAAGTGGAACCTTTTTGGCACTGTTGCCAAACTAAAAAGTCTTTAGGGCTACAAGAAGCACTAATGATGCTAAAAGGTGTTATACAGAAAACTGTATTCCATTGTGCAAAGTGCCTGTCAGAGAAAGTTTGCAATGATAAAAACTTCCAAGCAGACAAATCCATTCTTTCTGAATCCAGGCATAATTATTGAAAATGTGATTCCAATATCCACACAGAACAGG